GGGAGAGAGAGAACACACAATGGCCTTCGTGCTGAGTTAGTAGTTGCCTCTAGGGAAGGAAGAGGGTGCCAGAGGTTTTTATGTGGCTGGGCCCCCATTGCTCAATGCACATAGAGGGTCACCACCTCTGTGTGGTCCAGTAGCCCCTCTGGATTAGGTCTGAAAATGCCAATGTGAAAGCAGACTTAAACTGCACATCGTTTCTGTACCATAATGCCACCTTTAAGGAGAAACACAGACAACCCAAATTTTGTTGATTTTATGTGTAACTTTTGATAAACACTTTACAGTATTTTATGTAAACTGCTAAGGTCTTTTTCTTTTGATCAAGCGGTCCATTGCATTTTGTTAAGTAGAATAAACTTAGTAGATTTAACTTTTGTTAAGTAGAATAAACAACTGTTTCCCGCAGCTGCTGCTGTTATGTAAAACAACAAAATGGTGGGCACCCCGATCATAGATGCTGAATTGCATCTGGTTTGGCCCTGATCTGCCATACCTTGATGTGAACTTCTCGCTTGCCACAAATATTGTTAGGCTCATTTTCACCCTCAACAGTAGGGGTACACAGCAACGTAAGCCCTATGGAACTGAGGCACTCTGAACATCCTCAACTTCCCCCACCCTTCTTTTGCTAAGTGGCCTGTGGCATGTTCAGACTGGCAGGATGGTGGTCGACTAAGTTCTACTCAAAGTAGACCAGCTGGTATTAATAAACATAACTTAGTGGCACTAATTAATTTCAGTGAGTTGACTTTGAGGAAAGCTTAACGGAATACCATCCTCAGTATTTTGTGGGAGGGATTCAAGTGTCTGCCGGAACTTTAGGTTTGCACAGTTAAAGTGGATCACAGGCTTCTGTCACCCTTGCATAGCAAATCCACTAAAAAGGGGAAAGAAAAACCCCCCAAACTTTTTGTGATTTGGAAAGTGATGGAGAAATGCATTGAAAAGTGCATGAACACATGTAAATCGGGTTGAATGCTCATTGCCATATACTGTAACTATTGGTTCTACTGGCACCAATAGGCGAATGCTGGTCCCATCGGCCAAATAAAGATACATGTGTTTCCCCCGCCCTTTTTTCCCTTTTGTTCCTCTGTTTCCTATTAGTGCCACCTGCCCCATGTGCTTAATACAGCAGCAACACCGAGAGACCTGGACAAATTCACCCATGGCCACAGTTCCATCTTTCTCCTCACAAACTAGCTGAGGGAGGTGGTTAGAGATCTGGAGAGCTGGTGTTCCTTCAAGAAAAGTGGGGAGTGAACTTTCTCCTCCAGTATTACTTTGTGGCTTCCCCACAAAGTTCACCAGTTGATTTGAGGGCTATGTGTGTGGTTGCCCAGCCCTTGGGAAGAATGTTAGAGCTTCGTCCCATCCTTTTTAAAGCGAAGTGGGAGGCATGCCAGCCGATGGGCAACCTGGGCTACAAATAACCATTGTGGGAAAAGGTCAGTTTAGAGAAGCTATGTGTGGAGAGCTGCTTCTCAAAAGGGGCCAGAAATTATTTGATAGGCTTGGGTCAGCTGGATACATAGAAAACGCTGGGAGGTAAGCTAGTATATTTTATGGCTGCAGCTTTGTGAATACATATGTCTGTGTTCTCTGGAAAACAGTTACTTTAAATAAATTTTGGAATGGTGCTGAATGTGTATCTGTACCACTGCCCCATAATTGCTGGTGTATGAAAGAATGTACATTGTGTGCCACTGCTTCTCTGGGCATATACTGGTTAAGCACAACTGTCTCTGTGTGTATTTCTTGATGGTTACTCTGTGTATACACATATAAAAAGTGTGATTGTTGCTTTTGAGTAGTATTTTATATGCAATTGGTGGTGGTGGTGGTTATTCTGAGTCCATGTCTGTTCCTGTTTGCTGAATATTTGTGTGTGTCCACATGCACTGTTATGCTACACCCACCCACACCCCTATAAACACCCAGGTTTGGTATTCTCTTCTCTCTTTTTGAAGTATTCTACAGCTTTAGTACCTAAGAAAGAGGGGAGTGAAGTAGGGCTTGCTGTCAGTGAAGACAACACAACTTTACTTGGTTGTCTGCCTTGTGTGATGGTTGGTCTAAACCTATTTTCATTTTATGCCCCCTGCTTCTGTGTGTTTGTGTGTGCACATGCTTTTGCTTAGGTAGTGTTCTGTAGGAAAGAAATTGGGCTTCCTGCTGGCAGGTTAGAACTTCGAAGCAGTTACGGAAGTGCTTGCTGTTTGCAGATAGGAGCCCTATGACTTCACACTCTTCCATTAGGCCATCTTCCGTTCCTGAAGTCAATCCTTGGCTTATTGCCAGATAGAAGTCACTTTTTCCCTCTAAATGAAAGCATTCCATATTGTGGTGCAGCCAGTTCCAGGAAAGCTCACAGGAGACCTAAAAAAAAGGCAGAACGTTTCTGCGTGAGAAAGAAAGCATCCTCCAGTATGAGCTGGAACTCATGTTGAAACAACCCTATATCCCAAATTGCTTTGTTTTCTGTGCAATTAAACATTGCCATTTTTTTTAAAAAAATATGTTTCACGAGCCCACTTCATGCATGCTTAAAATCCCTACATGGACCAGTCCTGAAACCTCAGCTGCAAAGAGAAAGTTATGTGTGATCTAATGAGACCACATAGTTTTCCACTGATGACTACATAAGCACAAGAGTAGAATAAAAATTGTTGTTGTTGTTGTTACGTAATAATGTATTAGATGCCATGGTTTTAAGTCATGGCGTCTTAAAATGATTAAAAACATATAAACAGCATAATCACACTCATGATAACAGCAGTAAAAGTATTGTAGATCAATAGATCACAGCCAACTATTTTAATGTAAGACTATAAATTGAAGTTTGCCATCTATAAAATCACCTTTTTAAAAGCAGTCCTGAACAAAGACCTTTTTAAGAACCCAAGGGGGGGGGCTCATCATTTATCTGGGGGTGGGTGGGAGAGTAATCCATAGTTGTGGGGCTGCCTCAGAAAAGGTCTCATCTGCTGAACCAGCCAGCCTGACCTCCCTTCCTGGTGGGCACATGAACAGAGCTTTGGTGGCTGATCTCAATCCTTGACAGGTTACAGTATAGGTCACAGGTGCTCCTTTGATTTACTTGGTCCCAGGTGTTTCAGGAGGACTTTAATGGTCACTATTAGGGCATATAGGCAGACAGTGCAGCTGAGGCAGAGTAGGTGGGTCCTCTGTGCCCACATGAACTGTCACCAGTGTCTTGACTATAATAGTGTAAGAGACTATAATACTATAATAGATTGCCCAAAGAAGGTGGGGAAAACCTGTTGCTGCATAATCCCATGACTGAGGAGATTGAATATCTCCTCAAAACATTGCTGCCTTACCTTGCAAACCACCTGCAGCATAAGGTTCATCTCTAGATCTGTCTACACAATTCTTTAGTGCCCTTGATGCTAGTGAAAATTAGATGGACCTTCCACTTGCTTGTTTGTTTATTCATTCATTCATTCACCCATTCATACCACTTAATCCAAGAAACCCCCAAGTGGTTTATACAAAACAGTCTTACAGTGAGCAAAAGTGTAAAATGCTCTCCTCCACAAACACACACATTTCTTAAAAGAATTCCCAGTGCTATTCATAGCCATGTTTCTTTTCACTAGTTTATCATTTTATTTTATTTTATTTTATTTGGTTAGGTTCTCTTTTCTGACCCCATCCAGTCAAGCACCACTATTAGTGAGTGCCATAATGTCACAATGCCATATAGCCAACCAGGCTTGCCTAATTCCAACTGAATTCAGAGAGAAGGCAGGGCTTCCTGCATTGCATGACCCTCACTCTTAATGGGCATTTGTGGGGAAGGCAGAACACAGCAACCACTTAAATGGGTATGAAGAGGAAGGTAAATTCCTGCACTTGTGACACTACAAACACTTTTTCTCCCTTTCAAGCTCCCTCTCTCATCACTGAAAGGAGGAGAAGAGGTGCCGATTATAGATTAAAGTGTTAGTGAGAACTGCTCCCCTCCATTTTAACTTGGCCCTGGCCTTCAAAACATCTTAATCAAAAGCAGAATGAAACATTAGCAGGAGAGCTCTTTTTATCCCCATCAAGACCATTTGTTTTATTTTGGACTGCAAAGTGAACACAATCCTTTTTTTAGTTGGTGGAATCAGGTTGTTGTTGTTTTGCTGTTTTAAAAAATGTTGCTTGAATTAAGGTTAAATGCCAGATGAATTTCCATGTTCCTCTGAGCACACACACTTTGGCTACTTTTGTTCTTATGGTAAAGTTCCAAGCCTATAAAATGGAAGCTGGTGGTTGGCTTCCCTCTTACGAGAAGGTTGCATGTTCTGAGCCTTTGGTTGGAGGATCCAGCCTTGGTGCTATGTTAGGGTTATACAACATCAGGGCTGTACAACAGGTGACTCACCAAACCTAACACAACCCATCAGCTGCATATTGGGGCCTGCCTGTGCCTAAAAGCCCCCCCGGTCATGCAGCAAAAATAGGATTATTGAAGTCCTTTGTCTTGGTGGGTCACAACTTGTGCAGACTTGACTAGAGGATCTTCTGGTCTCTGCCTTTTCATGGTGTCCCAACCATTCTCAACTTGCTTACCTCTTGCTAAAGAGGTTTCATGTATCCTGGGATCAATACAGGTACATTTGCTACAAAACATGCTGTGTTTTGTAATAGCAAGTCAAGAAGAAAATAGCCAGCAAATGTGTTTTACTCCAGTAGCCGCCAGCACTTCTCTGGCTGCGATTAGGTCCTGTGGGAGCAGAACATGGCAGGGGCTGTGCTACCATCAGAGAGACACACTGGCGTCTCTTGTCTTCAGAGGCCTGGAGGGCACAGGATGTGATAATGCTTGGCAGCTGGTTGGCAGGGTCGCAGTGTCCCTTCTCATTGTAGCTAAATGCAGACGACCAGCCCAGGTATTGTTTATGTCTTAATTGGAACACATAAGCTTTTGCAGCATAACAGCTATTGATTTTCCTGTCTCCCTTCTCTCTTCCTCCATGCAGAGGTTGGTCACACCCAAGGGCCTCTGGATGGCAGCCTATATGCCAAGGTGAAGAAGAAAGACTCACTTCACGGCAGCACCGGCACCGTCAACACCAACCGCATCACGCTCTCGGCTGCCCCCAACCACATTGAGCACACACTCTCTGTTAGCAGTGATTCGGGCAACTCCACCGCCTCCACCAAGACAGACAAGACTGACGAGCAGGCAGTGCCCACAGTCCCCGGCAGCAGTGGAGGAAGCAACCCTATACTAACCCCAGAGGAGAAGCGGGAGCTTGACAGCTTGCTCAGCGGCTTTGGCTTGGAGAACGAGGGCGCCATGCATAACCACAACCCCAGCGGGGGAGCAGTGGTTGCTTCCACCACCTCAGGCCGCCACATCGTTCCAGCTCAGGTGCATGTCAACGGGGAAGCTGCCAGCTTGGTGGCCGAGAGGGAAACAGACATTCTGGATGACGAGTTGCCCAACCAGGATGGGCACAGTGTGGGGAGCCTGGGCACCCTCTCATCATTTGATGGCACCACCAACACCAGTGACATGGGCTACCACGAGGCCCCTCGGATGGAGAGCCTCAACTCCTTGCCCAATGGGTCATCCAATTTCAATGGCATAGACAAGCTGCACGATTCAGAGACGGTGATCAATGGTGGCTACCCCTACAACAACCAGAACACCTTGCGGAGCATGATGGGGCGTCACCCCCAAGACCCATATGGGCACATCCGTCCTTCAGTGTCTGCCCAGGAGAATTTGGCCGACTACTACCAGCATGGCTTCCCCACTCCTGGCTGGTTGCAACCCCAACCGCCAGCTGCCAGCCAGCAGTACCCTTACGGCTATGATCCAGATGGCATATACCGCTCGCAGTCCTTCCCCACAGCGACTGCTGAGAGCCCCCAGCTGCCCCAGGCACCAGCCCGGAGCACGAGTAGCCGGGAAGCTGTCCAGAGGGGACTAAACTCTTGGCAGCAGCAAAGTGGAGGCAGCAGACCACCTTCCCGCCAACAGGATGGTGCCCGAGACAGCCAAAGTCCCAGTGTTTCCAGTGCAAGCCCTCAGCCCAGCCCTTCGCAAGCAGCACCCCCTCAAAGCATCAGCATCCCTGAATTCCCCAGGGTGGCCTCCCAGAAGGAAATAGAGCAGTCCATTGAGGCCCTCAACATGCTCATGCTTGACCTGGACCCTTCTGTCTCCATGATGCACAAGTCCCAGAGTGTCCCGGTGTCTTCCAGAGAAGATAAGCCACGCCCGGTGGCTCTCTCAGTATCTGCCCAGCCTGTGACTGGTCCTCAAGTGGTGCAGCCAAAGTCTACCAATCCTTTTGGCCCTATTCCAGGAAGCCCTTCCCACAACTCCATGGGCATCTCTGTGTCCCAGCTGCCTGACCACCAGGCGCCTAAAACTCATCCCACAAAGCTATTGCTCCACAATGCTGCAGAGCCAGAGTACCCCGTGCAGGATGACCAGGAGGCTTATTTGTCCTATGGCTATCCGAACCAGCAAGCCAGGAGCTATGGCCAGGCTGCAGGAAGCCCTCCTACATCTCCCAGGCCTCACGCAATGGCATATAAACTCATGGAAGCTCAGCATCCCCTGCTGACGTCACCCCCATCACCTGGGATGACAATTCAAGCCCAGGTACCAACAAAGAATGCGGAGAACAGTGAGGAAGCTTCTCGCCCCACAGAGGAAGAGCCTTTGCATCTTGAAGGTCTGGTGGCCCACAGGGTAGCAGGTAGGAAGCCTTATTCTCTGTTTTCTTATGAGTCAGGGGTTTTTATCCTTAGGGCTCAGAAGGCCCCACACCCCCACATAATCTTTTAGGGCTGGTAGGAGAAGAATGCTGCTCCAGGGCCCCGGATTGTTTCATGTGGCTTAGTCCAAAATAGAATGGATAAACTGAACTGTTCCCACAGCAGTCCTGGGGGTGGTGTGTTGGGGAATGTCTGGTGGGAGGGCTCTCACAACCACACTTGCAAACAACATGCAAATGCCATAGGATCTATCTATGCCAGGGGTGGGTGGGTTTTTTTGGGGAGGTAAATATGCCATACTTAGGCATGTTATACCTTTAAAGCACATTCTTTCCCTCAAATAATTCTGTGCACTGAAGGTGGTTAAGAGTTGCTGGGAACTGCAACTCTTTAGTGCAGCTGCTACACCCCATTCCAGATTATTTAACAAGAAGCATTTACCCTACTGTGAGGGGTAAACTGGTACCCAGAAATCTTTGGGGGGGAAAGAATGTGCTTTAAATATATAGTGTGCACATAGCCTTAGACACAAAGTATTTTTAGTGCAAGTCTAGTGTGCCATAAGGGGACGCGGGTGGCGCTGTGGGTAAAAGCCTCTGCGCCTAGGGCTTGCCGATCGAAAGGTCGGCAGTTCGAATCCCCGCAGCGGGGTGCGCTCCTGTCGTTCGGTCCCAGCGCCTGCCAACCTAGCAGTTCGAAAGCACCCCCGGGTGCAAGTAGATAAATAGGGACCGCTTACTAGCGGGAAGGTAAACGGCGTTTCCGTGTGCGGCGCTGGCTCGCCAGAGCAGCGATGTCACGCTGGCCACATGACCCGGAAGTGTCTCCAGACAGCGCTGGCCCCCGGCCTCTTGAGTGAGATGGGCGCACAACCCTAGAGTCTGTCAAGACTGGCCCGTACGGGCAGGGGTACCTTTACCTTTACCTTTAGTGTGCCATATAGTCCTTATATAAGTGTGTCATGCCCACCCTGATTGGCCTGGGGCAGTTTTGTCTCAGGAGAGGAGGGGCCACATGGAGGCCCATTGCAATAATCCAGTCTTGAGGCTACCAATGGATCAAAGTGGCTGTCTTGGTCCAGTAGCGGCCGTAGCTGTCTTACCAACCGAAGCTGGTAAAAGGCACTCCTAGCTGCCAGGGCAATTTGTGCCTCAAGTGACAGCCCTAGATCTCAGCCTCTCTCCCTGTTCCTTCAGAAGGTGCAAGGAGGCTTCCCTTCTTCTTCTGTAAGAGAACGATAGTTGCTCTGGGGCAACTGAATGCACTTGTCTAGATTTAGATGTGTCTCCCCGAGTCCTAGTGGCTAGTGCCAGGTTTCTGCAGAGCTAACTGCAAACCTGCAGCTTGGAACAGATGAAAGCCATCATGCCTGATTTGTAACTTACTGGTATTTGGCATTAAGGCATGGGATGCAACATGCATGGCAGGGTTGGAACTTAGGAATGAATTGCTCAGCAACTGCTGGGGAGACGGCTGTAAACAAGGCAGGGCTCTGACTTGATTTTATGCTCACTGAATGAGCGGCACAAGAGCCTTTAATGATTCTGCTGCGAGATGTTGAGTCAGGAAGGAAATGTCCACCACACCCACAAAAGGGTAATATTCCATAGCCTTTGGCGCTTCTTTCATGCCCTTCCTCTGAAGCCCAGTGCTCTGGCAGTCTTGGGCAGGACTCTGTGTTCTCGGCACCAAGGGAGCTGAAATTAACTCAGAACAAATTATGCACTTTTGCTTAAATGGGTGGGATTCATACAGTTCCTTCTGCATATGGCTTTTGCAAGATTCAGGACGTTTTGTAGGAGCTCGGACAATAATAAAAGGCAAGAAATGAGGGGAAGGCATGGAATGAAGAGGGCGGAGCAAGTGGAATTAGTCCTGGAAGCCACAGGGGGAGGCATAGGTGGGACACCCAATCATCATTCTTTGGGCCTAGGGGCCCAATAGACATGATTGATACAGGAGCTTCATGCTTGGAGCTCCTAACACCTTAATATTTTGGAAAAAGTCAACACAGGGAAGGGGGCAATTTAAATTGAGATGATGCCATGGGGAAAATGAGGCAGTTTAACCCTTTGCCTTCTCCACATCCCCAGTCCAAATTAGCCCTCCCCCAAAGTTGTTTTAATCCCCTGAGAGGAAAATATACAGGCTTTTTAAACCTGCGGGTTTTCCTCTCGTTACTTAGTAAGCCAAATCCAAATCAGCTCCATTCCCCTCTGGTCACTTTTCAGAAAGAAAAAGGATAGTAGCAGCTCCAAGGATGGAGCTCCCCTGTAACATCTGTTTGACCCATCCCTTCAAGCAGACATTGCTTGGCTTTTGGGGGGGAAACCTTTCTCTAAGACCCTGAGGGATAGAAGCTTGTTATTTGAAAATAATCATAATAATCATAGACGTATTTTTCTTTTAAGCTGAGATTCTAGATTCTACCTCATGCTGTGTATAAGTATGAAGAGCGCACATACACAAATGCCTTTGTCTTGGGAACTTTCAGGCTCTTCTGATGTGTACAGCTGAGTCTCTTTTTTAATGGGTTCTAACTGGTTGTCCCAGAATGGAGTCTTTCCTCCATGTAATTCCCCTGGGCATCCTCACTAATTCTCCACAGGGCACACTGTAGACCGGGTTGCCCAAGCATGAATTATGGGCAGTGATGGGAGAGGGGGCACACTTTGCAAAATGATCCGTCTTTGGGACTGAGGCATTTGGGCTTCTTGATAAAAACAACGTACAGTGTTGCTTAAGGACTCCTGTGATGTCTTGTATCCAGTATGCAGCCTCAGCCCTGGCAGCTCCTGGGATTGTAATTACACATAAAAGTTTTTAATTGCAGAGCTCCTCAGAAATGTCCTGGACATAATCCAGCCTGCAATGCCAGGCTCAGCTGCTGGGCTCTGTCCAGTTCAGCTCCTGGACCACAGGCATTAAAAGCATTCGGCCAAAGGGAAATGGCTTGGTTCTGGGATAAGGAGGGCTGGAGGATGGGAAACCAAGCTGGAGGCTGAGTCACTGTGGCATCTTAGGGTGTATACAGAGGTACACATAGCGTGAGGAGCAAACCTGCTATAGAAATGCACTCACCACATTTTCTTTAGATGTACAATTTTCTTTTCCAGACTGGGCTCAGGGGAAATGAGTTCTTTGTGTCCATAGCAGAAGCTAGCTGTTAACAGCTCTGGTTTTCTGGAAGTTGGTGACATCATGTTTCCCATCCTCGCCAAACTTGCTTTTCAGCATTGTGCAAAATTGATTCCCCCTTTACTTATTTGTTTCTAAAATCTACACCTAGTGCTTTACAAGTAATACGAGAAAACAGGAAGACCACTTGAAGTGCAGAGGGGAGCACAAAGCAGACTGATGAATCAGTGTTTGATTTGATGTCCATTATACTTTGCGTTGCAAAGGCAGGGGGCAGCTGGGCTCAACCCACGGTAAAGCAGTAACAACACACAGCAGTGTGTGAGTTGAACCTCAGAGCCCTGCTGGGTCAGACCCAGCTGGCCCATCTAGATCAGCATCCTGCTTCCCACAGTGGTCATCCAAATGCTTCTGGGAAGTTCACAAGCCACTGTATTTGCCATTTATACCAGCATTGAGCTGCCTCCCTCCCCCATGGCCATGCATGTACCCACACACTTCCATCATGCGAAGATGCTGATGCAGATGGAAGAGGACTAGATTTTTACCCCATTGCATTACTACATAGTAACACTCTGGTAGGGAGAGAAAAGGTATGGTGGATGTGAATCAGCACCATGGGAGGAAACTGGTGCAGAATTTCTGGTGCACCATGGGAGGAAACTGGTGCACCATGGGAGGAAACTGGTGCAGAATTTCCTGCTTACAGTGGCGTTTTCCAAATCACCTGTTCCTGATTTGGGGGGACATGGCAGCCTTTCCGAGTGTTGTTATACTGTGGCAACCTTCTACCTGAGCTGCACATGGATCAGTGTATAATCCCAAGGGACACTATGTCCTGAGATCCTGGGGAAAAAATAGCTGCTGTGGAAGCATGAACCTGCACTCTAGGTTCACAGTAATAAGTGTCCCATGATCACAGAACATGGAGCGAAGCAAGAGATCTGGACGGTGCTAGAGAGAGAGGAGGAGGGGAGGGGAGCGAATGGAACTGGCCAGAACAAGCTGTGAGAGAGGGGTTGAGAGAGAGAGAGCTCAGGGGCCAGCATGTTATTTACAATGCATGCTACTATAAATTGCCTGTTTGTTCCAAGGCGAGTATGTGTGGAATTTCACAGATCATCATCCTCCCTGGTTCTCGCTATCATGAGAACTCAGATTTCCTATGCAGCAGGGTGGGAGCAGCCTGGGAGCAGCCTGTAATGATTAAGGCAAAAGGCCTCTAGGAGGACACCCTTCCCAGGGAAAGCTCACCACCATCACCAACACCACCGCCCTCAACTGCTGCAAATCCTGCCTGGCGCAGAGACTCAGGGACCTGAAATGGAAGCTCTGAAACAATTAGCATGAGCCAGCTGAGTCAGAGATGCCTCCACAAGTTGTTTCGTTACTACTTGTGTGTTTTGTTTACCCAGTCTTGGAAATCCCTGTCCAAGCGGCAAAACAGGGGTGTTCCAGGGCTGCCAGCTACATCTGTGCCCTGGTGCTGTGCAGGTGCATCGGTGGGAGGGCAGGAGTGGTTCGGCCAGTGCCTCCCACATCCAGTGCCTCCCACATTCTTGCAATATTTCAATTTCTACAGTCATTATGCTGCTGATTCTGCACATTAGACAAAGGAATGTTTCCTCCAGTTTCCAGACTGATAACTGAATTCCAGAAACAGTATACAGGGTAGATATGATTCTCTCATGATTTTCTAGCTCCTCTTGAATCCAAAGAAAGCCAGGGAACTACAAGGGATTTATTACCCCACAAAACATACTCCTAAGGTCAACCTATTCACCCAAGATCTCATGAAGAGTCTGGTAATTGACTTGGTTCAGTGGTATCTCGTATTCTGATGTCGACCCAGCTTCACCCCAGATCACATTGTATTCAAGCCTGGGGTGTATTTCCAACTAATATTTTTTCTTGTATTTTCCCTCCCCTTTCTCCTTTGTCTGTTTGTGATGTTTGTTCTGTCTCTGACTACACACTCTATTTCTCACTCTCCGTGATGGATTTTGTTTCATCCTTGGTTGACCTTCTCCTGCTGCTCTATTCCTACCCACCCTACCTCCGTCTCCCCCTGTCAGAGTACAACGCCAAACTCCGGGACATCCGGAAGAGCATGAAAAGCCCCCATCCTCCTCTTCACCGACAGCGATCCTTCTCCTTTTCTGGTTTGTTCTGTTGCTGCTTCTCCTCCTTTCTCTTCAGCCTCCCCTGCCATGGATCTCCCGCATGGTTGCTGTTTCCCTTGCTGTTGCATGGACACCAGGACAGAGAGCTGGGGTGGCTGCTGAGAGTCCATTCCAAAATGGCACCAGAAAAAACCAAAATGGCGCCAGAGTAAGGTTGTCTCCTAATTTGTGTGCGGAAAGGCAAGAAAACGTGATTTCCTGCTTCCCACCCACATTAGGGATTACCTCCAATACTGCCAGATCCTTTCCTCACATATGACAGCTGTGCATTCCCATTGGATAAAAAATGTGTCTGCTAGGAATTCTGGGAAGGACCTGGTTTTGGGGCCTGTCAGGTTTGGACTGACCTGGTTTTGGGGCCTGTCAGGTTTGGACTCTACAGCCTTGCTCTAACTCCAAAAGCTCCTTATTTATTTATCTTTTAATCATTGGTTGTGCTTCCTCCTCCTTTTCCCTTGCAGTGTGTGGATTCATTTGCTACGTGTGGTGCTCATCTGTGGTATAACCAGAAGTCACTTGCAAAAGGATTGGGCGAGGGGGCTTGTTTATCTCAGTGGCCACCACACTCACCGCTGCTTTGTTGTTGGTGCTATGTCAGGTGTCTCCATAACATCAAGGGGTGGTTTTCTCATGGGTGGAAGTTGGGGCAGAAAGGAAGGCCAGAATCCAGGAATGGGATGATCACTCACTGTAGTGCTTGGCCAGCACACCAAGGTTTATTTAGGGGCTATGTGTGTTGTACAGGCATCGCTGGGGTGTTTTACTTCAGATCTTTCTGCTGTGGCTGGCGATATTGAATGGAACCAGGAGAGGGGCTTCTAGCATGGCTAGCAGAAGGGGTGAAGTGTGTGTGTGTGTGTGTGTGTGTGTGTAAATTCTTGGAATCTTATTCAGCAGGTTGCTCTGGAGAAAGGAGCCTCTTGATGGATTTCAAACACCTGGTTGTTCCAAAGCATCTCTCTTGCATGTTTGGTATTTATGGAACATGAGCTCTTGGAGCCAGAAGAGGAGAGGCGAGTTTTCACCGGAACCTCATATTCAGCAAGGGCTCCTGGGTGCTTGTTTTGTTTTGTTTTCTGATCTCTTTCATTGGTGCAGGTAGCCTCAGTATATCAGAGTTAACAGCCATTTCCACATTGGCCTTAGGACTACTTCCGAAATCATTGCAGATGTTTGACTTCTCTCTACCCCTGCAAAAAAAGTATGGGTTGCCATTCCAACAGAAGATGCTGTTTTTTATTATTATTCTATGTGTTTCATTTGCCCCAATACAGGATACTTGGCTCTTCTGAATCCACCCACCTCTCTCCCAACAGGTTTGGAATTTGTACTCCTGTAAAATTTCACAGTGCTTTGGTTGACTTGGTCACTGCCTTTTGCCACCCCCCACCCTGGCCCCCAAGAAAATATCCCATAGACATTGCCTCTAGCTCTCACACTGCTTCAGGATTAATGCAGCAGCATGGTGTATGCTTGATATCCTGTCACTCTGGCTTATAGTCCCCCCTTGAAACGGTGACCTGTGGTCTATGCATACAATGCCCAAATTCTAATGGAATGTCACATTCAAAAGAGAGCAGCAGACTAGAAGGATGGGCTCCTGTGCACACATTCACTGCTTTGGGGTTGCATGGGATCCTCATGCTCACTTGCCTTATATAATGTTCCTAGAGGAACGTAAAGTTGAAAGAGGTATTTCTTTGTTTAGTTTAAATGAGAGAACTTACTAATATTGTTGGGGAGTTCCTAGAGACATGCTCTGGGCTGTCCTTGTAATAGGCCCAGATGACATTCCACAAGTCCATTCTGATAAACCATGGTTTATTGCATTGAGAGCAAGCTGTGTGTTCTTACACTCCCTTCTCTCCTCCCTTCTTCTGTCCTCGTGCACCCAACTTCAGTGCTTCTACCCTGGCTTGTCACTTTTCTGTGACATCAGAACCAGTTTTGTTTGCAGATGTTAAACTGAAGATATCACGGGAAACTGTGGAGTGTGAGGCCACGAAGCTCATTCTCAAGTCAATAAACAATGGTTTACCAGGCCAAGATTGCTATCTCTGAACTTAGGCTATAAAGTTCCTCTGGATGTTAATCTATTAATAAGAAACCAGACTCTAAACTATTTTAATGAAAGAATGTTTCCTATGTGCACAAGAGTGGGCTTGTGAATTAAACCTCTGTGTTCTCATTTCTTGTGAATAATCTTTCAGTTTGAGAGTGGAGGAGTTGCTGTTGGAATATTCCTTTGGCATCTCCTCCAAAATGCCAGAGGAAGTTTTGATACAAGTATTGCCCACACAAAAGGAAAGATACAAATTGAAAAATAAAATATGCTGTCTGAATCCTTGCAGAGTCAAGTAATATAACATAAGATTCACTCAGTGATTGTTATTAGCCATGGTACAGCTACCTCAAAATGTCTAGAGGCAGCCTATGGCTGAATACCAGTTGTTGGGGGACCAAGAGTAGGGGAGAGCTGCTACCTTCATGTCCTACCTGGTGGCTTCCCAAAAGCACCTGCCTGACTCCTATTGCAAACAATCAGTTAGATGGACCCTTGGCTAATGTAGCAGTGCTTTTCTTATGTACTATAGTGCATCAACTGACTATGCTTTCTTTGCAGTTGAATGGTAAAAAGAAAGTAAGGTATGGTTTTCCCCAGGCCATTGGGTGTAATAGTGTGCAGTTTACCCAGAATGCTTAATTAAGCAGCAGCAGAAGGAACTTGCCATGCATTCAAAAAGCAAAGCTATGAATTTATTTACATTTACATGTCTATAAATGCATTTGTGAGTGTCTGCTGCTCAGATGTTGTTGGACTGCAACCCCAGTCATTCCTGACCTTTTGCCATGCTGGCTGGAGCCGATGGGAGCTGTTGTCCAACAATACCTGGAAGGCTAGTCTGAGTGGCAGCAGCTATCCAGGGACGGAAGGAGCCTTTCCCATAACTCCTAACCTTATCCTTTTTATAATGGATATGCCCTGGATTGAACCTGGAATCTTCTGCATGCAAACCACATCCTTTACCTGCTGAGCTAGGGTCCATTGCTTTCAGTAATTTTCCACCTGCCCAGTTTAATTCTAGTATCAGACCTGAGTGTAGTACATCAAGTGGGAAAACACAGTGAGGCAGAGACACAGAAGAGGGGAGATGGTTCAGCTCCCCTGCCCTCCCCTCCACTTCATATGAATAATAGATCCTTTCTCCCTAGAGTTGTAGGTGAACAGTGCAGGTAGGTAAACAGTGCTGGCAAGCCTAGCTTGGCCCTAGTAGGAAGGGTTTTCCAGTGCCATCTTGATGAGTCACCTTGAAGCTGTCCTCTGATCCAAAGTTTCATGATGGCACTTGCTTGTTGTTGGATTCCATTAATGCTGGGAAGGAACTAATCCTCCCCTGTATGGCTGAAGAACTTGGCTGCAGGTTACAGAAGATGGTAGCCTCACTCTAGGGAAGGGACACTCTGTATCTTCTCAGCTTAGAGTTTTGCTAGTAAATATAGCACAGGAGGAGGAGAGTGCCAGAGAGATAATTTTGTTGAGCAGTGCTGTTGCTAATGCCCAGCTTTTCCTGCTCCTCAGCCATTCCAGGGACCCTGGTCACCCTGAGCCAAGGTGTCACCACTCTTGGCTCTGAAAACACTGGTCTCCTTCTTCCTCCCCTCCCTCTGTCTGCTTTAAAGAGAAGAAGGAAATAAGGCATATAATAAAAAGGCCAGAGGAAGTAGAGGGTTTCTAAAGTTTGGTGCAAAGGTTTTGAAGCCTAGGGCGGAATACGTTTGAAATGTGCGTGCAGCAGCAATACAGAGGGAACTATGGCAGCCATTCTCTGGGTGTGGGAGTTATATGGAATGCCTTGAATCAGAGGGCAATGGCTTCTTTCTCTGCGCACATTAGCAGTATCAGTCTGAGTTTTGCCCACATTGCAATTGGCACTGACCTTTGCCCATATCTCACTGCTTCCCAATGAGTTTCCCACTCAAGCATCCAGCAAGGCTGTTGCTTTCTTGCTCTCTTCCCCTCCTTCCCCTTCCTGTGTGCCATGCTCCTTTCGCTTCTCAGCAAACAGACTCGTGCCTTTCCTCAAGGTCTCCTGGTACTGACAGCTGGCATCTTGCTTGTATGTTGTGCTCATTGTGTTCGGGATAAAACTTAAAAGTTGCAAAGGGCTTGTGTTGGCCTTCAGGCTTATGCCAGCAACTGCAAGAAACTATGATTCAATAGGGATTAAGGGTTTTAGAAAGGAAGCCAACTTCTATGCACCTCCTGCTTGTTGAGGCCAAAGGATGGGAGTATGAACAGAAGGGGGTATTATCCCTGAAAATGCATTATCCCCAGCTTCAAACATTCAAGGAAGTTCAAGGAAGACAACACAGTGTGGCGATAACTGGAACCACCCACTTCCACTCCCAGAGGCCTGATAGATCTAGATCCAGATGCTGCTCATCGGATCCCTTCCACTTCTGCAATTCTATAGGAGAAATCTTGTGCCTCTCCAGTGACAAGGCTGCAGGGAGGGATAATATACACACTTTGCATATATTAGTTCACTGAAATGGGGATGATCTTGAAACTTAACTGCTGAAGCTTAACTTGAAAAATGACTGAAATATTTTTGGGTTTAAAACCAGACAGGTAACAGTCCTTGCAGAAAGGGATTTGTCTCCCTTAGAGGCACTACCTGCTTTGAGGTGGGGGGGGCCCTCTGGGCACTCCACTTTTCTCCCTCCCTGGTGCTCTGCCTTGACTTCTTTTATTTTTTGTTGTCATGGTTGCCTTGGTGGCAGCCATACATTTCTCCCTCCCTGAGTGGCTGGATAGGTAGGAGGCAGATGAGGACAAAGTTGTTGGCTAGCACATGCTACAAAGTGGTGCTGCACCAGCCAATTACTCCAAGGCTTAAACTGTCCACCATTATTTTATTTTTTTAAGTACTAACCCCAGGGTGAGAGTGACAGTGAGCTTTTCCAGTCAGAGGCCAGCTTTATGGTCATAGGGCCAATGAGAGCATCACTGTAACAAGAGCATGAGCCAAGTCCCCTTAGCCTACTAACCTTGCTGCTCTCATTGGTCCTGCACCCCCAACGGGGTGGCTTAGCTCCCTGCCACTACTGTCCTGGGCTTAGCAATTGTTAAAATCAAAATGGTGGGCTGCTAGAGCCTTGTCTGTCTGTGCAGCCATTCGCTTCCTATCTTGGGGGGAGTCTTTTGGAATGCTTGGGGGGCCAGTGAGCTGTGCAGTGGCGCAGTCTCTGGACTTGAACCTGTTAGTTCAGCCTTAGCACCACTTGTCCCTGTTTTTACACACACACAAAATGCTGCTGCTTTACTTTAAAGAGTTTTGTGTGTGGTGCTGCTTGAGCTCACTGCTCCTTTCATCAATGGATTTTCCTTAGTTCTGGATGTTGTATTGTGGTTGCTTCTGTTGCCATGGATTCTGGCTCCCTCCTCTTTCTCCTCCCAAGTGGGTTTCTGTTTTGGGAATCTCAGAACGCTGCCCAAAATCTGTGCATTCCTGTTCTTTCCCTCCTTTAAAGAAAAAGAAAAGAAACTTCCCTTTTCTTTCAGCTGTGTGAAAAGCAAGGCTCTCTGCAGCTGAGAAAATGGCATAGCTGTTACTAATCAGGGAGAGATCCAGATTAGCCAAGGGACTCAAAAGCAGCCCCAAAGCCCCATGAGTTTTAGAAACTTTTTAAGGACATCTCCCTGCGACCAGTGCCTTAAAAAATAAATTAAAAATCATTCAAATGTGTTTGTGGGGTGGGTACAGGAAGGAGAGAATTCATTCATTGCTGCTTATATAAAAGAAGTGGGCTCTTTTTCCTAGTTGGGGTTTGAATGTGCTGACGTGTAGTGTCTCCAAAGCTTACATCTGCAAATCTTAAGTAAATGAGGTAGAGTGAGCTTACCCCATTTAGTGAATGAGACCCCTCCCTCTGGCAGGTTTCTTTAAGGAAAAGAAGAAAGAAAGAAAGAAGTCCAGTCACTGCAACAAACACATCATTATACAGCTTCACAACTGATGAGAGTTTGGTGTCTCTCGCTTGCTCTGACCGCCTCTGTTCCCTGGCACTGCTGTTTCGTTTCACGGCTGCAGGGCACAATTTGAAATGTTGCAGGTGCTGTTCCCAGCTACAAAGTTTTCATGTTAACAAAATCCATTGCTGCAGATGACTTTCAGGATTTCATTGTTATGCATCAGTTGAAATCAGAGACTCAGGTTGACATCAGAGCACATCTGCACCGCTAGACATCTTAAAGTGTTAATCTGTACCACAGACTTCAATCTCAGTTTGAAGCAGGCTCACCTAAAACAAGCTAATTTGGATTTGATTAGAACAGGTCCAAGCTGAGCTCATTCTTAGCTATAGCCCAGTCACAGTTCTGAGTCTTCTTGCACTCCCAGTGATGTCATTGGTAGGGATGGGAAAGAAATTTGATTCAGTTCACAATTTTCAAAACAATGCGTGAAGCAAAACACAACCGTCTTTTGAAATAGGCACTTCCCTGAATTTTGCAATGTGCTTCTCCTGCCAAGTAATGCGTACAAAAATGCACATACTAATGCAAAGTGTGCATATAAGTGCATATATTAGTGGAAAATAACATACAGAATGCATAATTTCAGGATAAATCGCTTTACAAAAAAAAGTGTGTAAGAGGAGAAATTCACCCTAAAGTGCTGATGAATCTTCTTGAGGACTTAAAAAATAATAATAATCACAAACTGGCATGGAAAGGTGGAGAACTTGATGTTAAGCCTGGATAAATGAGAAACTGAGAGGAAGCAAAATTGACGGATTCGCCCATCCCTAATCATTGGGAACTCAATGAAGCCTGAAGCTCTCCCAACGAGCCCCCCCCTTGTTGCAGTTACCACTGCAGCAACCTTGAATAGGCTTTAAAAGGTTGCAGCAACAATTACCTGAGCTTTGCTTGGGCTTCTCAGTAACGGAGCTACATTTCCCAGGTGTCTTGGCACCCACAATGCTGCTGCTGTGCTCCAGGGCCCAATAATGGCTGCAGCAGCAAGTCTTCTCTATGCTGCTGCTAACAAGTAAGTTTCAGCAGGAAAGGGGAGAGGCCTATGGTGGTGGCAGCCAGAGCAAAGCTCATTGTAAGCCAAGCCCAAAGTGTGGAAATGTTTGCGATTAGTTCAGAAGTTCCAAATTAGGGAAGTTTGCACTCTGAACCCTCTGTTCCAATTTTTGGCAGCATCATGTTCATAAACAAGTTTAATAGACTAGGGATGAGTGTGTGTGTGTGTATCCACACCCCACAGACCACTAAGAGAAATTTATCAGCACCCACATCAATCAACATTTCCCATAATTAATCCAGGGAGCGTATACTGTTAGGGGGAATAAGAGCCTATTAAATTATTATTTATTGTTACATTTATACCCTACCTTTCTTCCCAGGAGCTCAGGGTAGCATACATGGTTCTCCTCCTAATTTACAACAACCCTGTGAGGTAGGTTAGGCTAAGAAACTGCCACTCACCCACCAAGACTCAAGGCTAAGTGGAGATTTGAACCCTGGTCTCCCAGGTTCTATCCCAGTGCTCTAACCACTGCACCACACAAAAAGCATATATCTTCAGAGACTTGAACTTTCCTCTCTGTTGCCTTAGATTGACTCTGAAAGTTGAAGAGGACAAGAATAGCAAGCAGCCTTAGATCTCTTTTCTGGACCACGTTAGCCAGTGGCCTTGGGGTTCCCCCCTTCCTTTCTTCTTCAGTGTGTGGCTTTGCTCAGTTGCTTGAGTCTCCTGGACCTATTCCCCCCTCCCAGCATACACACCCTGCTTCTGGCTCAGTGCAGTATGGAAAGGATTGTATATGAGGATCCCTTCCAATTCCTTGAGCTGGCTTTTCTCTTGACCTGTATCTGCCTTCTCCTGCCAACTGCTTCCTAGGTCATTGTATGGAAATGTTGGAGTAGGGAGAAGGCCTGAAGACAAGGAGGGAAATATATTACTGTGGTGGAGATGTCTTAAGTTGCCTAAGAATATGTGGTAATATTAGGTGAATGGAAGCTGATCACCAAAAAAGGAAAAGAAAGGAAAAAAGTAATCAGGCTGTTAAGTTTGCCTGCTCTAAGTACACCCTACTTAAATCAGTGCTTTGGTTCATGTTAATAAATCCTACACACAGATCACATGCACACACCTATTACAGCCAGGTAAGAGAAGTAAAATACGATGCAGGGCATCCACACCAACGTCTTATCCTCCAGAAGCCCAGCTCAGGAGGCGAGGAAGGAAATGAACAGGGCATCTTGGGGATTTTTGGCTTCAGCATGAACTCTATGCTTTCTCCAATGCAGCTGCTTCATTATGCAGGGATTTTTAAATGTATGAACCGGGGTGTCACAATTTTGAGTTGTGCTTGTTGGGTTTGGGTTTGGTTTTCACTATAATCTGCTGGTGGAAAGTGATGGATTTGCCCATTTCCCCTCTCCTGATTAATTGATTCAGTTTCTTTCCAAAGCCAAGACACAGCCCAAAGATCTGAATATTGGCTCATAAAGACTTTCTAAATTTATTGAAGCTCTTCCTGTGCTTGGAACGCCACTTTTCTCACAGTTCAATTCAACTTTCAGGAGTACAGTCGCCACGGGAGAAGTCACCAGAAGAAGCTGAAGCCCCTGTACGGAGACGTACCACCAGTGAAGGCCAGTATGAGAACAGTCCCCAGGATCCTAGTTCACCACGAAGCCCCACAGTTCGTTCTCCAGTTCACTGTGTCTCACCGGAGGTGGTCAGCACCATCGCTGCCAACCCTGGAGGAAGACCCAAGGAGGTGCTTTTCTTTTTCTTATTAAAACACTATTTTCCCTTCTGACCTTGCTGCTTGCATGCATGGAAACACAGAAGGGGATATATGTCTCTTTGACCCCAGCGCTTGATAGTAGGTAGGGAAGGGCCAGGGTTGGGAACGGCAATGAATTTAATTTGGCAGTAGAATGGATTAAGTAAATGGCACATGTATGAGTAGGCCTCCCTAATTATTCCTTGGGTGGAAATTGCTTCTTCAGTTTTGGAAGAGGTTGCAATGGTTTGGGACTCAGAAATGTCCATGGTTGTTCTCATGTCCAACATCATAAATGATGGAATACCAGTTGCAACCTGTGTTGCTGAAACTGGGAAGAGCAACCATCAGTCCCTCCTATTCTGGCCACTTGCTGGAAGCCTCTGGACCGTCACTATATTCTGGGACAGATTCAAGTGCATGTTGGAAATTTAGACCTGTGCAATCAAAGTGGATGAAAGTCCTCTGTTGCTCTAGTGCCACAAACCCACTTTTTAATTTTGGGAATGGACTTTTGCAATTAGGAAAGTGACAGGGAAGTGCACTGAAAATGTGGGATCAATGACTGATTGACAGGAAGATGCAAATGAATCAGAATGAATACTCAGTAAAGCAAATTATTATGAATGCTCAGTTAACGGGTCATCTGTAGGAGCTGTTTCTGACAGTATGGGGAATGGAAGCCAACTACGGAAGCATAATGTTTTCTGAAATTAGGAGTAGGAGAAAGGGTCATAAAGGCAAGAAAAGGAAGCATAGGAGCAAGCAGTTTAAAATTGCAACCAGACCAGGCGGGAGATGGGGGAAGCATCTGGCAAAGAGAAGGCAGGCATTTCTCCTGCCCCAATTTGTGGGGGAGAGGTCAGGAAGGTCCTGAATTTTGATAACTGATTCTGCTTTCCCTCTTTTACAGCCCCATCTCCACAGTTACAAAGAGGCCTTTGAAGAGATGCAGGGGACCTCTCCAAGCAGTCCACCTTCCAGTGGTGGTGAGACCTCTCCCCCAACCCCTGCCTTCCCTGTCTCACCACAAACCCCTTACAGTAACCTACGTAAGTTCCATGGCAGGGGATGGGAGAGGGGGCATTGGTGGGTGGCTTGGGCAAAGCCAGACTTAAGAGGCAGTCGGTCAAACCGTTCTCAGCTTCCCAACACCCACCACCATTTTAATCACCCCTTCACTTTCTCGTTTCTCTCTGTCTGCCAGTCTTGGCTTCTTCCCCCATCACCTTTCATCTCTGCTTGCTGTAAATTTCTCACAGTGTCACCAATAAGTATGCATTCATCCATGATAATTATCATCACAACAGCAAAGTTTTGCAACTCTTGGGGGGATCGATTATGGTTAGAGCCATTAGCTACCAGCAAGTGGTGAAGAGGAGCCACAATTTCTGAATGTCAGCATAAACCATAGCAGCAGAGCCCTGTGCTGTCTTCTACACTCTCCTTCTCATTGTCTGCCAGACAAGGAGGTTCACAATTGTTCATAAATTGTTCACTTTCCAAAGTGTTGGCTGTGCTAGCTAGTTACAGCAAAAAACAGTAAAGAGCCTTGCAACTCCTTGAAGACTGTTTGCTGATTTTGAAGATGCCACAAGGCTCTGTTATTATTGTATAAAAGTTCTGCAGTTAAGATAGCAGAACCATAGCAGCAGAGCCCTGTGCTGTCTTCTACACTCTCCTTCTCATTGTCTGCCAGACAAGGAGGTTCACAATTGTTCATAAATTGTTCACTTTCCAAAGTGTTGGCTGTGCTAGCTAGTGAAGCCCTCTAGCCGTGTAGGGCAGCCTACTTGGGGCTTGATAATACTTCTGTTCTTGCTGTCAACTAGCGATTGCAGGATTGGAGTTGGGTGTGGCTTGTTAAACCACAGCATATGCCTGGTGGGTTCATTTGGCTATGTAGGTCATCCATTCTGCAGGCCTATTTTAGAGAAACCCATCCAATGTTTTTGGTACACAATATCTGCCTTCCTAGATGCCAAGGGAAAAAGGTTAAATTAGCCTTGCTCTCCATAGCATGGACAAATACCCAAAGTTGGATTAACAAGAATGTCACATGACCCTGACAGTAGTTTCCCCATATCCATCAGCAACACTTAGTAGTTATGTATATGAGTTATGTAATGCACTTATAACAATGACATGATTTATGAACCTCTATGAAAACACTTACATAGGCAAATTTGCTTCCCTGCTGGGGGAATTTTATACCACACTGTGAAGATTCCCAGTTCATAAATTCTAGATGGTACATAAGTTCAGGTCTTTGTTATTATGAATGAAGAATTCCCCATCCTGTGAAGCATCTGGCAGGATCATGGACTTAAATTAGTAATTACATTTCCCTGGCTGACAATTAAAAACATATCTGCAAGCCCTGGTGCATAAGCTGGAGAAATCCCTTTGGTCTGATCATTCAGAGATACTCTGACCAGTGTAATGTTCCAGGGATTTTTTTTTTAAAGTATTTTTTTTAAGGGGGAGCGGAATCACATACTGTACCTATAAACCTGCCTATCACATGTGTCAGTCAGTTTCAGCACTATTAACTGCTTTTCTAGACAGAAAAACAATACCCCAAATCTGCCAAAGTTGATGGGTTAGAAAAGGCAAACAGTCCTGGTTATGCCTAACACCTGAGCTGAGCTGTGGAATGTCCCAAAGGAGAAGTATTTAAAGTTTAGGTTTTTGGCACACAGATCCTACTTTAGGCAATTTTTACGTGGCTTCCTCTCTTTATGGGAGAGGGAGAGAGAGGCAGCTGTTTTCTGCAGGTGGGAGGAAATAAAAATTAACCCAAGCCCTAAAGACACCCATGAAATACCTCCACAACAGGACATGGGCTTATGCAGAACAGATGGAGGGATGCATCAGCTCTTTTGCATGGAAAGGTCCACTGTTCTTCCATCCCAAGTGCCCAGTGTTCAAGGCCCTTTGCAAGTTCTTCGTTCTGCCTTCTGTTTGCACTGACAAATACTGATGGTTGTAAATTGGGACCAGATACTGCAGCGCACAAAATCTTTCAAAACTGATGTGTGCCATTTAAAGCAGGACCTATGGGCTAGATGCAGCCCCTTGGCCTCTCCATCCGCCCTGCTGACCTCTCCTGTGCAGCCACATTTCTCCCATTGCTCAGCTGTTTCTGCCAGTCAGCTGAGTGGTGGCAAAGGAGGTGGGAGACTGCAGGGAGGTTCAAACCTCATCTTCTCTAATCTCTCCTATCCCCCTCCCCTCCCAAAAATGCTGATCATGAGGAACAATGGAGCAATGAGGGAAGAGATGCAACGGCTGCAGAGTCCCACTGCTTCCACTGGCAGCTTGCTGCATTTCTGTGCTGAGAAAAAGGAAGCTCATTTCTCAGCATCCCAAAAGGAAATGTGACCCGGATGTATGGATACGTGTGAATCGTGGAGGGGTATGCGTATGAATGGAGGTGCAGGTGTGTGAATGGGAATAGTGTGGGGATAAGCGGATGGGTATGAATGGGGCATGCATATGTAGATAGCTGTGAATTGGGTGTGTCTTTGTGTATATAGCTTTGGCCCACCCCTGGCATATGCCCCTCCCCCTAAGCAGTTACAAGGGAATGCAGTCCCTGGACTGAAAGAAGTCCCCAACCCTGGTATTGGGTAGAAAGTTCAGATACAAATTTAACGAATGATAGCTCCCACTCCCTTCTGGGCAGTTTTGTAAGGAAGGACAGGGTATACATTTCATACATAGAGTGCATATGCTTCAGAGGCCACAACGTATTCCATAGGTGTGTACATATGTGCACACGCCCAGACCAAATGAGGAAAGAGTGGTTTCCATTCTACATAGATACAGCTTTAGGGCATTTGCTGCCTTGCACACCTGTTCCTCCTTCAGTTCTCAAATGAAAGTGAACAACATGTAGATTTGCTTCTCTTTCTTTCTTTTTTAAAAATGTAGTCTTCGCCATTTTAAGAAAGAAATGGAAATTGAGGACAATAGCAAAAGCCCACACCAGCAGGGATTCCATTGCACTAATAGGTCCAAATGTGCCTTTTTAATCCAAAGCTAAGGGAACCACAGGCCAAAGAGGTGCATGTGCTCTTTGGTCTGTAGCTCTTCAGTGGAAGAGGTAAATCTAGCTGCAAATTTATTTGTGTTTCAATGTAGGTATGTGTGTGTTTAGTTCTGTCAGAGTTTGAAGGGGCAAATGGGGACTGAGAGTGAGTCTTCAGAGTTACAGTGAGACCCTTTGACATCCATTTGTAACCAATCAAAAGCTGTTTGCAGCTGATCTGTGCTGTCAGCAAAAAACAAATAACCCCTTGCAAAGGAAGAACCAGGAGTTCACTGAATGCTCCTGATTTTTCCTTTGTAGCCACATGCTTTCCTGCTTCACACCTGACATTATGTTACATTCAAATAGTTTATGTGTTTAGATAATACTGTATTTAATATTGTTGTTTCTCTTTGATAGAACACATTCAAAGTTGCATCAGGCCAATGCAGAGACACTGTGCAGTATACCATTTAGCTGAGTCAGTAGTTAACTTGGTCTCAACAGACAGGTGTTCCACCCATCTGACAGGGAAATTCCAAAGTAGTAACGCCCCCCCCCCACTGCGGTGTGATAGTAGCTTGTACAGTCGTACCTTGGATCCCAAACGCCTTGGTACTCAGATGTTTTGGCTCCTGAACTCTGCGAACCAGGAAGTGAGTGTTCCGGTTTTGCAAATGTTCTTTGGAACCCAAACGTCCAACAGGGCTTCCGTGGATTCCGATTGGCCACAGGAGCTTCCTGCAGCCAATCAGAAGCTGCGCTTGGGTTTCTGAACGTTTTGGAAATCGAACAGACTTCTGGAATGGATTCTGTTCAACTTCCAAGGTACGACTGTACTTATGAAGCACAAGCAAAATATTAGAAGTATAAGTGTGTAAAATGAATCCAGGCTGTTAACCGTGGCACATCTGGTCTGTTTATGCCATGGATACTGTTGTTGTATGCCCAGGCCTTATAATCCACAGATGCCTTGAGATTTCTGTGGTAGCTCAGCTTCTGAGGCCGTGGGTGAAAACCTGGTCTTTAACTTCCTCTTGCATGCTCTGTCTTCCTTACTTTTCTAGTCAAGCATGCCTCTGAATGACTAACCCCTTGATAACTTGGTGGTGGGTTTTTAAATGTAATTAATTTAGCTTTGAACAGTTCTGCCAATATTTCATCTGGCAGTGCTAACATGGCTAAGTGCATATGAACAGCAATGGACCAGTGAGCAGCTGGGAAATAGCAAAAATCTCAAAAGTAGCAGACCCAAAATTTTCAGAACATTCTGATTCCAAACTGGAAGCATCACTGTTGCTTCCAGAAGAGGCTGGCTCTTATTTCAGAACAGAACTGGTACTCCCACTTGTTAGCACCCCAGTGTTTAATATCTACTGTCAGTTATCATTCATAGATTTTTTAGCAGGACCTTTAAAAATGCATCCACACAGGTCTTCTTCCCAATGCAGAGTGAATTGTGACAGATATGTTTATGGAAAACTAAGGTGAATGAGATCCTGAGCAATAACAGCAAGAAGTAGCTTAATATAAGTCCCCAAAGAATAGGTAAAATGGAATCCTCCAAGTTTCAGCTGAGCCTCATTCATTGATGTTAATATTTAAAGGCCACTTCCTCAATGTGCTTGTTTAAAGGGTTAGATGAAGAGTACTTCCAATCTTCACAATCCTCTCTTGGCTAAATATAATTTGCTTGGGAAGCACATCACTGTCAGTGCAGAAAGTGTCTTGGGAGACCACTGCCAGGGACATTTTTGTACTTTTAGTTGCATAATACAAGAGCAATTAACACAATTTAGCCATGACTAAATGTCATCCCACTGATTTCATGGGAGCACACAGGTCAATCCCATACATATTCACTCAGAAGTAATTCATAGTGATTTCAGTAGGATTTACTCCCAAATAAATGTGCATGGGATTACAGCCTTCATCGTGACTGACTCTTGCTTCACATGTACAGACATGCTGTGAGTTGCACATTCATTCCGGTTCTGTTGAGCCAGAATGACATTTCAAAAGCCTTCCACAGACTCGATCTTCTACATATTCTTAGAGGGCCGAAGGTATCTCTATACTGTAGTCAAGCATGTGACTCTATAGCTTTCTCCTACAGAACAGTTACAGATCCACTATGTGAACAGATTTGGTAACAATGCCTGTCATCTTTGCTAGCAAGTTGAACAAGGCACTTGAGGTGCTATCAGCAAAGCCCACAAGAGCCTGCTGTACAGGCTCTTGAGGATGCAGGTTGAGCACTGAACTCTATGATATTCTAGACATGGACTAGCTGCTTTTGGAATTGCTTGTTTCCCAGTCATTCATTGGTACTGAGCCATTAATCCTAGCCAGCCTAGCTAATCCATGATGAAATATATGCTCTTGGTAACTGGCTTTCCTTTAATGCTCCTGCCTCCCTCCCTCCCTCCTCCTGCTGTGTCCCCGGCAAGGGTGCCCATCTGAAGCTGTAAGTCAGAGGATTGCAATGCAAGTAATGGAGAATGTGTTGAATTTTTCCTTAATGGACAATATAGTACTTCATTTGTCTGTGTACGCCCACTGTGCAAGAGAACTTGAGTTTCAAGTTAGAAAGCCTGAATTGTTTGGAGCTGGTGAAATATGATATCACTTGCAGTGATAGCAGTACACTGAAAGAGGAGAAAAACCCACATTGGAGTTTTTGTGAGACTTGCTGTTTGGAACACATCTCACGTATACATCTACATCCATTGCTGCTTGCTGTATACATATATATATATTAAGTGTATATATGCATGGCTATCCTAAATGTTGTTCTCCTTTTTGATTGGGTAGATTGGGTGAGATATATGTGGATGCAATCATTCAAATGCTTTGTTGATATACAAGTTATACATATAGGCATCTACATATATGATGTATGTTATTTGTGATATACAATGCCATTCGTATGCAATGTTTCAAATCCTTCTTGTCTCATGATCACGATCTTTGCAGATGCCATCTCTACCTTGTGGCAAAAACTCTGACATAAGATGACATACATTATCTATTCATTCATTGCTGTTCTTCAGACATCCTGGTAATGGGATGGGGATGCTGCGGTCATTTGCTACCAAGGTTCTCTCTATTGGGTTGTTCTCTTGGGCTTGTAAAGAGAAAATGAGAAGTTGCTATGTTTCAGTTTCTGCACTAACCCTATACTCTCACAAAAAGCCATAAATGGGAAGGATGGTGATGATTTATTGAAGAAAAGAGGGAGATGGAAACGTGGATATGTCATCCCTGTAGATATTTTCTAAGGGATGTTCCACAAAGAAGAAAAGAGGCAGAAAGATCACGGTCCCATGAAATTATAAGATGCATTCCAGAGACAGTTACCAGTCCTCCAGTCCTGCTATGTAACATAAGCACCTAATTCCTTGCCAGTGGGACTTTAACTGGTTGCTTCTTCATCACAGGCTCAGTACAGCATCTGAAATCACATCTGTAGTTATATCCTTGCTACTGGAGCAAACTTAATAGGCTAAATGTCAGGCCAAGATTTAAGCTGGAGAAGCTGGGGGCATGATTTTCTTGAAATATGGATCTGACCTGCTGAAAACATTATCAGTGTGAAGTAAGTTGTCCACAAAAGCTACTTAAAACAACAACAGCCAACCTTGCTTGCCACACACCTATTAGCTGTAGTCAATGCTGGGAACATTAATAACTTGAGAGATAACAAATGTCTTTGACTAGCTGTGCTGAGTTTAGTAGTTTGGTGCAAACACAAAGCAAGGTGTTAGAGTTGGCTGTAGAGTTGCTGTAGCTCCAGCACAGGCATGGGCAAACTCGGTCCTCCAGATGTTTTGGGACTGCAACTCCCATCATCCCTGACCACTGGTCCTGTTAGCTAGGGATGATGGGAGTTGTAGTCCCAAAACATCTGGAGGGCTGAGTTTGCCTGTGCCTGCTCTAGCAGGTAGTCCTGTTTGGGGATGGTGTAGAAGAGTCCTCTCAGCTACATGCAAGCCTTTGAGAGTTAACTTTGTTGGAAGAGCTTGCCAAGCTTTCCCCTGAGGAAATCCAGTCTTTGCCACTGAATCAGAGCAAACATCAACCAGGTATTCTCTGGATTGACGTTTCCTCTGATTTTTCACTAAAGAATGGGTTTTCTGGGGAAAGTGGTGAGGCAAGGGGGAAAATGTTCAGACCCATGCTTTTCTAGACATGGGACAAGTGCAAGCCTGGATGGAGCCCTAAGTGCCTCAGCCTTCCATTTTGTAGATCCACTGCTCCACTTGCCTTAAGAAATCACACACTACTGAAGAGAGGGCAATCTTTGTCTCTTCTCAATGGAGAAGCTGTCTGAGACGGGGGGGGGCCTGCTACTGGCAGCTACATTCCTGTGGTTTCAGCACACCAATCACCCTGAGTATTTCCAGCCATACATGTATATAGCTAGGATTCAGTTACAACCCTGTTTAGCTATAAACTGGTATTTAAAAACAAACCTGGAAATGCCTGGATTTCTTCTCCTTTACATTTAATCCACCCTTTTATGTTCTGTTTTGTTGATGCATTTCTTTCGCTCTCTGTATTTTTGACAACAGTGCGCTCTCCACCAGGACTGGCTAAAACTCCGCTTTCAGCACTGGGCCTAAAACCTCACAACCCAGCAGAGATCTTGCTGCAGCAAACAGGAGGTAAGCAAGAGTAGTATAGTGATGGAGAGACTGGTGCTATGGAGAATAGCAGCATCGTCTTTTGTACAACCCACTGTCCTGTTGCCCATGCAGTTTGTATTAAGTAGTTTTAAAGATACCCACTGCACACAGACTTTAAAATAGATTTTAGCTCTGGAGTATAAGCATATATTTTATTCCTTCAGTTACACAGCATCAGTTGTTTTAGCAAATGGCATTGCTGTTCTCACAATCACTTTTCAAATCTTACCAAGCCCAGACCTTGATATTGCCTTAAGGTGGTGATTTCCATCAGCCAGCATCATTTTCTGTGCTCTAGAAAAGTGCTTCCTTTCCTCAGTTCTGCTCCTGCCAATTTTGTATTTTTAATGTACACCCTTAAGTTGCTTGCATAATGAGCCTCCTGTTCATTTTCATTCATCATTTTTAATTATGGATGACAAGGAGAGATAAATCTTATTTATAGAGCTGAGGCAGATTTGAAAAAGAAAGTACAAATCTGATTTGAACTTCTTTTTTGTCTTGGATTCCAAATGTCGCAGAAGTTGGATTTCAACCATAAGGCTCAAATTTTGGAGGCACATTCTGCAGTTTGCACTGAGTCTGAAAGTCTGGCTCCAGTTTTTCTGTACAAATTCAATCAAGTGTGAATCTTCTATGGCCCTTATCCAATTCAAATAATCGGCAACTAATTGCATGTAATAACTAGTGGTGTCTGGATAGGGAACCACATCCCCATATGCTTCAAAAGACACAAACAGATCATTCACTGTGGCTCAAATAAGTATTTCATTGGGGATACAGATGAAGACACAAATGCAGTCTTCCATATGTAACTCTTCCTTGCAGATCTGAGGCACATATATTTAATTTTAAAAGGAATGGCATATCTCAAATTTCCATATCTGGGGATTTACACTTACACGCAGATTATAAATTGTAGGATTATTCAGTGTGACGCTGCATATAATATTCAGTGTTGTTACAGTCTTCGAAATTACACAGATTTTGAGTGCTTGTTGCAGTAACTGAAATATGCTGGATTCAGGTAGGTAGCCGTGTTGGTCTGATGCAGTCAAAATTAAAAAAATATAAAATTTAAAAAATTGTCCAGTAGCACCTTAGGGTGGTCTCTTAGTTGGTCTCTAAGGTGCACTGAACATTTTTTAAAATTTATTTTGAAATATGCTGCTTAGTTTAAATTGCTCCAGTGGAATATATGTCATCCCACTCTTTAACATAAAATGTTAAAGCCCCATAATGCTTCTACAGTTTTAAAATTGAGTAAGTTTTACACTTTCCACTGGCTGGATAGAGGAGCTGCCTGCTGGGGTGGGGCAGCCATGTAAACTGAACTGGGATTCCTGAAGGGTAAGAATAATAAACATATTATGACAAACTGTCACAGGAATGATAGTGATTGCAATCAAGAAGCAAACTAGGAGATGTGAGATAAAATCCCACAGCGGAAGGGTAGGGAGTGAGCCCCAATCATGACAGTTTACAGTCTAAACCGAATATTCAGGTGCAGAGTCAATATTTGCAGAGGTTTACATAAGCATGTGAGCTGCCTGCCACAGATTTTTTCACAAGCATGAACTTGCTAACCTGGCTCAAGCTGAAGCTGATTAGGAAAAGTAGAAACTGAGTCCTAAGCAAGCCTGAAATGCATTTTTTTCAAGATTATCCATCCATCAGTATAATCAGCCACTTTATCAGGACAGTACTTCATGTCATAGAAGGCTATTGAACATATCAGTCCTTTTAAGAACAACAACTGCAGAGTAAGAGGCTTGTAGTTAATCCAAGAGACCACGATCAGTGCATTGCATAATGGGAAGCTATCAGGCTTTGCACATGTCCAGTTTGAGGAGGCATGCGTTGGAGCAGATTGGACAGTTGTTTTCATGAATGTTGCATCTCAGAGCTTGCATGGGGTGGAGGTGGGGACTCTAGGCTAGAAGCCTTCCGTTTGACTCATAAATGTTCCATGTGTAGAGAGATCCTTGGCATCAGAACATTTTCAACAAGTACTCTCCCCCATGAGGTGATATTGTTGCTTCCCTCCCCCAGGTCAGGATTCACTCACATGCCCATAAATTCAGGATGTGCAATTATAGTTAATTGGGAGGTCTTGCACAATACACTCACTTCTCCAAAAGATTGGGCTGTATGTGATAAAGAAAGCGATGGAAAAATTACTGGAATGTGTGGAATAACACTTGGTGTCATCTCACTTCCACCTCTCCTTGTATGTATTCTCTGTGATTTAAGCAACAGGGTCTCTTCCTCTAGCAATATCTTTACAATAGCCTGCTGGATCAAATCAATGGCTCATCTAATCCAGCATCCTATTCTCACAGTGACCAACCAGATGCCTGCTTGGAAACCAGGGAGCAGAATGTGAGCACAAGAGCACTCTCCCCGCCCATGGTTTCCAACAGCTGGTATTCGGAAGCGTTACTGCCTCCAACTGGGAAGGTTGGATTGCCTTCTCAATGATAGCCTTCTCCATGAATTTGATTAGTCCTCTTTCAAAGCCAAATCTTGTGTGGTCATGCTTGTTGGTTTCCCAAATGTCTCTAAACATTTATTGCTTTTATCTGCAGAATATGAACATCTGGTTGAAAGGGGGTATAGTGTAAAAATCTAGATATGTGCCATCTGAGAGACTAAATAGGCTCTTTCTTTTCATTTTCTTCTGACTCCCAGGCTAAGCGCTAGGTCTCTGAGTTGATTGAAGAGTGGTACAGAGTTCCTTTTTTAAAAGGCCAGTTCCTAATAATGTTTTTCAGGCCTTTGGGAACCTTAAACGTAGATTTGTGGTGTTTATGGTGGTTCACACTGGTCATCATTTAGACCAGAAACAACCTCTTCTGATGTTTACAGTTGCTTAACATAAGAAATCCTGCTAATCTCTCTCTCTCTTTCTTTGTATGTCTCCTCCTTCTCTCCATTTTCATTACCTTGCCATTGTCCATCTTTTCCTTCCCAAACACTTCTTTCTTCCATGCTTGCCCCTCAGAACTAGATGGGGAGACAGTAGTTGAATCTGATGAAGGTAAGGAGGGAATTGTTTTCATTTTATATAAACTATTTGGCAAACAACAATATGCCAGCAGGCCACTGTTAGTCCCAGTGGCCACACGGAAGCTGCTGGGCTTGTGTGTTGTCAGAAGAGTTGAAGACCAAAACATTTCCCTCACAGAATTTTGCTGCACCACAGATTGCCCAAGAGCTGCTGTACATGGAAACTGCAAATAAATGAGAGCAAAGACATTAGCAAGGAGTTGCTTACTTTTCTAATAACAATAGCTCCAGCTTCCTTGATACAAGTGTGCTAATACAAAGACATTTCTCCTTTAGAATTTCTTGCAAAAAAAGCAGAGCCACTTCTGCCAAACTATTTAAAGTGTCATTATTTTGTCATTTACTGGTGGCAGAGGTGGCATTTTTTGAGATTACATCAATCTCGGTGAATTAAGATTCTGAGTATCATTTCTGAATATTGTGTGAGATGAGCAGTGCATTCCTATGCAAGTATACATAGACGGAATTCCTACTGAGTTCAAGGGGACGTCTTTCCCAGTAACTGCATAGGACTGTAGCTGGATGCCTGATAGAAACGTTATCTGTCCAGCATGGGAACAAAATCCAGATAAATCAAATCTCAGGCTAATCTGTGGACATATGAAAACAGGAACCTTGAGGCATAGACACAATTACATGGTTGCTCCTCATGCTACCTTCACCTGGCAGGTGGTGCTAGCCATTTTCAGGTTGACATGGGGCCAGAGGTATACATTTGCCACAAACGTAAAGCCTGAATTTTGCAATGGCATTTTGCTTCTTCTAGTCATGCTTACATACTTACATACTACATTACTTAGTGCCACAGAAGATCCCTTTCCTACTCTCCTTTCTTCCCTTTCTCCTTCTTTCCTTCTGATACAGAAGTGACTGGGTTGATGCTGGAATAATATTTAGTGCTCTTCATTTGTCTGTTTGTTAAATTTTGTACCTCACCACATCCCCGAGCTGGGTTTGAAACCTCAAAAGAACTTTTTGAAGGTATAAGAAGGTACGAGAAGGTATGAGAAGATATGAGCTACAGGTGTCACATCCTTGTAGGCACCTTTTTTAGGCAGCATTTTGTTGCATCACAAGCAAATTAGTGATCTCATTTCCTTTCTGCCTAATCCCTACTTGTAGCAACAGCAACTACTAGCAACAACAATCTATTGCTGCAAAGTGAGAACTAAACTATTCATGAAACTGAGTCCCTGAGATTTTAAGCACTATATGAAGCTGTAAATTCTGCAGTCTCAGCAGAAAACACATGTAAGGTGTGGGGGGAGAGTGGTTTTTTTAACCCTTTGATCTCTGATAGTTATATGTTGAAAATTTTACCCACCAGCTTTCCAAAAGTCATGAGTAAACTGGAAATGGTTAAACTGAAAGGCTCCCTTCTTTAATATGGGTCTTCTGCAGCCCCATTTTGTAGAAATAAATTAAAACAGGAATGCAAGCACTGTACCACAACTCAACTTTGTGTGCCGTTTGCCCCTAAAGTAGGACTGGAGAATATGTAACCCCCAGATGTTGTTGGACTCCAACTCCCACAATCCCTGACCCACTGGCCACACTGACTGGGGTTGATGGGAGCTGGAGTCCAGCAACATCTGGATGTTCCTCATCTCTACCCCAGATAATTGTTTCCTGTTACCCCAATAAGCATTTAGGCACTGCTCCATAACTGTTCAGAGGTCCTGCATTCCCAGTACTTCCCAAAATATGTGCTACTACTGACCTTTAGGGAGTGAAAATAAGCAGAAAGCCAAGGAGAGAGTTCACAAGTTTAAAATGCTGCTTGGGACAGAACCCAGCTGGTGTGAACCATAGTCTTTTGGAGGGCTGCTACATGTTTAGATATATCAAACAAACCCAACTGGAATCCAAAACATTATCTGAACAGGATGTACAGCTTTTTCTAGGTAGAATAGAGATGAAACTTGAGCAAGATGTTTATAGGGAAAACCAGTCCTTGCTGGTCAGGCGGTATTCAGTTTGCACTGCTGGTCAGTGGAAGCTCATCCCCATCCCTAGTAGTCTTTGTAATATCGTCTCACCTTTGGAATTGTTTGTTATGTGTAGTTTTGCGCAGTTCAGATTGCATTTGGGAGGGCTGCTGTCACTTCCCCAGTACTCTTCTTGTTAGTCTAATCTGTTAGTCTAAAAGCACACAGCCTAAGATCACACTTTTCAGTTTATGCATTAAATCAGTTTCAGATTTTATTTTATTTTTAAATACCCTCTACTTATATTGAGGCAATTTTAATATACAGTTTATTGAAGATTTTGTCTGTCCCCCCCCACAACCCCATATTGCATCATACAAACAAGGAATACATCCCTTGATAAAACCAACCTGTGCTTTGAGAACTGCTGCAATGGTGGTGGGTGATGGGTGGGTGGGCGCTCTGCTCATGGTGCTACCAGTTGATGAGATCTTTGGTGCAGCTATCATTAGCAGGGATTTCTTGGTAATGGTTTCCATACATTAAATAATGTATGTTAAGCCTGCATAGAGTCCTCATGTTCTTTAATCTACCACTGCTTCTTTTGGCTCTTAGACTCTTGTAACATAATGCTAGCAAGATGTGTGTGTGTGTGTGTGTGTGTGTGTGTGAAAGGATCTGGAAATATGGGCTATAGGAGATTGTAACTTGTGACGTCAAAATGGTTGTTTCATGTTCCCCAGCCTCATAGGAGTGTCTCTTGAGACTCTTCCTGTTTATTTCCTACTGCACAACGAAATGTTTGCTTGCTTCACATAAATACAGAGAGGGTATTTTTAGATTTTGTTTGATATGGCACAGGACTTGGAACTTTACCAAGTGATTCTTGCATGTCATCCAAGAGTTCCATTCTCTCCTAGGTTTAGCATTTACAAATGGTTTGTTAATGCTAATTTTTCAATATCACTCAGATAGCTCGGCTTGAGAACTTAGCATATGCGTAGGCTTTTATGAAGTGTGAGCAAGACTATAGCAACAGAGGGGGATGCATTATACAGCAGAAGGAAAAAATATTCACAAAGGGAGACAATATCTTAAACTAAAGGCAGCCCACCCTTTATTCTTATATATGTGGAAGAAGACAAAGACATGAGATACAACAATTTTACAGTCCTTTATCCCTGAACTTCCTGGTTTGGGGGGAAGAGATTCCCCACAATTTAACAGAAATTCTTGGCTTTTTCGGGGAGCTTCTCATTAGCCTCTTGCAAGTTAACTTGTGGATACAGAGCCATGCCACTTTTAGTTAGGGAGGAGTGCATGAAGTGTGTATCTATAACAGATGAAATCACTTTAAGTAGCATAACAGCCTATTATGTGTTTTGCAAGTCTTTTGAGGCTGCAGTTCAGCCCAGTACCAAGACAGCCAAATGTCCATGGCCTCTCTTGGTTGGGTCAAGATTGTTGTTCTGGGCTTTTGCCTTGTGGAATGTTCAGTATGAAGAGGGCAGACCAGCCTTCTTTATCACCATTCCATTCCATTCCTTCCTACCTTGGTGGGCTTGGTTAACTGGCAAACACTGCTTTGGACACAACAGATAGGGCTTGGCCACTGGATTCGTCTGGCCAGTTTAGAAATCCAACTTCCATCTTCATAAAACCTGACCCATGTTTGTCTGTTTTCCAGATTAGAAGGGTTAAAAGTAATCTCAAAGTCCTGTTTACATACATTTTACTCCACCAATTACAAGGCTCAGAAGAAGATTGCCTAATTAACTACCTTGTATACTTTGCCCAACTGTGGAGAGGCTGCAACTTTGTTCCTAGTTTCCCCTCTGGTGTATCTTGGGGCATATTTCATGCATTAAGGTGTTTGACAGCCTGTTGGAAGGAAAGTGAGTGTTTTGACAGTAAGGGGTAGAATCAGCATTTCTATTCCCTGAGGCTACATGGATTTGAAAGTGAGTAAGTGGTGATAATATGGCCTTTTAAACTGCGGGTGGAGGGTATTGTTTGCTGCTATCGTATATATTTTGTGTTTTTATATTGTAAACCTTCCTGTGATCCTCTGATGAAGGATGATGATGATGATGATGATGATGATGATGATAGGATCCTTTTTATTACACATTCATAATGATCTGTGCTCATGATGCTATTGGGGGTAGTCACACACAATCATGCTTTCAACTTGTTAAAACCCACCCTGGGATCTGCTGGTGAAAGGCAGGTAATAATACTATTTGCACCTGCAAAATTTTGGAGTGATCGCGAAGTTTCATTTCCAATCAGTGCATATCCTGCAACTTGCTGCTGAAATCTCTTAACATTTTACGCCACAAATGTTTTGGTTTGTTTTTGTGCCTCTTTTGTTGCACTATAGCTCCTCCAGACAGCAATAATGTGTTGACATTGGGGAAGTATTGCAGAAGAAACTAAAGCAGAACAAAGCCACCAACATATTGCAGAATGCACCTACAATGAAACACCAATCTGGAGGGGGCCCTCTCACCAGTTTTAGCTTCACATAAGAAGAGAGGAATGATGTTACTAATGGATAGGGAACTCAGTTGTTGTGTAAAGAAGCTGATGGAACCCAGTGTTCAGCATTAAGAAGAAAGAGGAGATTGAAGTAGATGCCCATTCACAAATGCTATATATATAGGTCATTGTGGGTAGGACAAGAGGAAATGCTTCTAAATTGTATAGTAAGAGGTTGTAATTAAAAATCTAGGATGATTTCCACCCTATCCCTCATTATGTAAGTTCCCAGAGGAAGTTGCCCTACATGGTTTACATCTAGGAAGGTGGTGGTCGATGAGGAAGGAGAAAAGCTGAATTTGCAGTGCAAGAGTCTGTCAGAGATTATTGATATTTACTTAAGACCAAGTGTACGCATTGACATTCTTCTGCATGCAGTACATCCTGACCGGCTATCGTGTGCAATATTGTAATGACATGGAAGATGTGCCCACAGGTCAGCCACAGCAACTCTACATGTCAGTGATTTTGGAGGTTCTGCACTTTTATCAAGCCTCTATACTAACACAGATCCCTGCAGTTCTATCTCAGCATGGTTCAGGTCATCTGTTACATTCTCTCAACAATAGCATTGTGCACAGGGGTGCTTGGCCATGTGAATCCAGCCCTTGCATTGTAAGATCTTGAAGAAGAAGGCCCCAATGGCCCTTCCATTCTCTGGTTTTCAGGAGGGGGAGAAATTACTCTAATTTGCTCTAGGGACCAAGATGGTGATTCACTTTGATTTTAGTAATTTGGCCTGCTACTAGCATGATGTATGTGTTTTATGAGCTTAGTTGTAACCTGCTTTGAGTTTTATCTTACAATACAAAACAATGTATACATATTCAAAATAAATTATGCTAATTGGAAATATTGGTTGTAAAAGCCCCACACCTTGAGGCACCTCAGTCATCATCTTCTCTCTTTCCACCTCATTTCAGAGCCCCGGAGCTACGTGGAATCTGTGGCCCGTACAGCAACAAGTGGTGGCAGCGGCAGTTCTGTTGGGAAGCCCCAGGCACCCCTGGCTCCGCAGGCCTATAACACTGAGACACCAGTGAGGAATGGATCTTTCCCCAACTCCTTCGTTTCACCAAGCCCTGTCGCTGCCAGCAGTCCAATGCACAGCATGGATGGGTAAGGAAAGACAGCTGTAGTTTGCCATTCTCAACAGGCTGATGATGGCAGATGCTGCTGAACTATGCAGGACTTCACTGTGACAGCTAGCAATAGGACTGCAGCCCTTTTGCTTACATATATAGACTCTTTGATGCATGATCTTGGTAGGCTGCTTTCCCCAAATAGAAGACACAGGGCCATTCCAGCTCATACTTTTGGTGTCAACTGATCAGGAAAGCATTTGTGCTGCAGGGAGATTTCATGTTCAGTCATTATAGGTTCTTCTGCCCTTTCTTGTATCACTCATGGATTTGAGCAGGGAGGGGCAATCTTTTTCCCAATTGAGGGCCAGATTACCTCAAGAGTGATCTGTTGAGGGCCACATGCTAGTGGCCAGAGTTTATTATGGGCCCAGAGACAAAAGTATTCTGTAATTAAGAAACTCCCCCACTTCAGTTTTCTCCATCATAGGGGAGAGGCACTTTATGATGGTTCTTCCACTTCCTTAAGTCACATCACTGGACTTATCACATGGTTGTTCACCGTGATAATTGCTTCTTGCAATTATCTTGCAGGCAGAATAGAGCCAGGCTGGGAGGAGATAAGAGCCTACGATCGTTGTTGGCAAAATACAAGAAGCCTCAATGTATGAAAGTGCCTTTAAAAGGCCCCCAGATGGTTATCCATTAGGGAATGTGCCTCTTGGCTTGGAAAAGGTTTCCCACCCCCCAGTGTAGATACACAACTTTGTACACTTATGTGTGGATGGTAAGATGTTTCTGTACGCATAGATGAGATGTTTATCTTAATAGTCATTTGTCGACCTGGTATATAAGTGAACTTGGAAGAATTTATTGTGGATGGAATAAAGAAAGCTAAGATAAATAGAGTATGACACCAGTTTTTCTTGTGGGGTGGACGGGCCATTCCTTTTAGGAAGGTGATCACAGAAGAGGTGCCCATTGGTATATTAATCAAATTTTCAGAAATGCAACCGAATTTCAAATTCTTATCACATCTGGAAAAGCCACTGTATTGAGTCAGATCATTGGTTCTTGCTGCTCATCACTGTCTGGACTGACTGGCTCAAAGCACAGAGGTATTTTCCAATCCTACTTGGAGGTGCTGGGAATTGAACCAGGAACCTTCTGCATTCAAAACATGAGCTCTATTGCTGACCTGTAGGCTCTCCAAATAGTTTTATTTATTTTATCAGGTTGCAGGACAGACTTTCATGTTTTCTACTATGCTAGGTGCTCTTGTTTATGACAGTTCATGCCACAATAAACCAATGCGCACAGAATATGTATGTTACCTTACTCTCTTTGCAGTCATTTTTCCTCAGGGGAAAAAAAACATTTCCTTTTACTGTATTATCTGCAAATGTTATGCATTGAATGATCTAGCTTACAAAGGACAAGTTTGCCATGGACTGCACTAAACAGTGTCATCACTCATTGGTAGAGCAACTACTTTGCCTGCAGAAGGTCTCAGGTTCAGTCCCCAGCATTTCCAGGTAGGGCTGGAAATACCTCTTGTCTGAAATCCTGGAGATCCACAGCTAGCAAATGAAATCAGTTCTGAGCTAGATGAGCCAATAGTCTGTCTTGGCATAAACAGCTTCCTCTATTTCTATTATTAAATACAGTGCTGTTGTTTTCTTAGTAGGATTGTGGACAGAGGTTGTAAGTACTGGCTTTTTTGGGAGGAGGTGGAACAGCATGCTGACATACACATATTAACATTTGTCCATACAGAAAGGTCACATTCTCAGCTTCCTGTGAAATATTTTCCCCTCCGGAATGTTTTGCATGCATAGAATCACATAATGGATTGCAAACTGTGAACTTACAAGATGAAGCAAAAATGACAGCCTATTCGGAAATGACCCAAGTCCACTGAAAGTTTGTTTCAAGAATGTGAACATTCTTGTGAGCAAATAAATGCAGTCATTTATCTGAGTGGACATCAAAGTCTGAATATGGCAGCTGGTTTGTTTAAGGTCACTGTGACTTAGAGCTTCATAAAGAGATCATGGGGAATTAGGAGAATCAAGAATTTGGGATAAGATGTTTGAACAAGGTGGGTTCTTCTTGTGCTTGAGTCTTAAGAGTCCTGTTACCTCCAGCTCTATATCATGTCTTACAGGAATAAGTTAATAACGGATTCTGCTCTCTCCCATTGCTTCCCCCAGGTTCTCTATAGGTAGCTACCCATCAGAGAACAATGCCAGCATAGCCATTTCATCCCAGCCATCAGCTGAGTCCAGCTTCCAATCCACCAACCTTTCTCAGGGGCCGTCGGCGAACAGCAGCTACCAAAACACCTCTACATCAACTCAGGGCCTTCCAGCCTATATGAGTGCCGACTTCCCTGATGGCCGAGCCAGCACTCAACAAGATAGCCACCCAAGGCCTCAACCCCAAGCCAATGCAGTTGGGGTCCATGTCATGCCTGGAAGCCCCCACTCCCTCCACAGAACGGTAGCCACCAACACTCCCCCTAGCCCAGGATTTGGGCGAAGAGCTGTCAACGCTAACATGGGAGCCGTTCCAGGAAGCCCGAGCATGAGCAGGCACGTAATGGCTCCGTACGGCAACCTTGTTGCATCGCCTGGGAGTCCAAGCCTGACTCGGCAGCAGCCCATAATGGGAGGCAGCACATCCATGGTCTCTGGAAGTCCCAATTTAGATCGGCATATCATATATGGATACTCAGCTCCAGAGGAGAAGCGCCCAACGCTGTCCCGCCAAAGCAGTGCCTCAGGTTATCAGGCTCCCTCTACCCCATCTTTTCCTGTCTCCCCGGCCTACTACCATGGAGTCAGTAGCCCACATTCCTCGTCCCCTGACTCAGCAGTGTACCGGCAGGGAAGCCCCACCCCAACCCAACCACTGCTCCCTGAAAAGAGAAGGATGTCATCAGGGGATCGGTCAAACAGCCTGCCTAACTACGCCACAGTGAATGGCAAGACCTCTTCACCCATCTCCAGTGGCATGTCCAGTCCCAGCAGTGGGAGTGGCATGGCCTTCCATCATACTCTGCCTGATTTCTCCAAGTTCTCAATGCCAGGTAAAATCTCAGTTCTTGCTGCTTCTCACTTGAGTAGTGGGCATCATGGGAATTGGGGAGGGGGCATTTCTGGGTCTTTAGTCTTCCTATTTTACCCTGCTAATCAGTACTTGATAGATGAGAATCTGATCATCATCAAGGATTGTCCTGAAATGATCAGCATCCTGTAAGTGTTTTGCAGTGTGTCATGTAGGCACCACTACCCTGGAGTGCAAGGCTCTCCTCATTTTTTTGCTTGTGATACTCCATATTTGGCATCATTTGGTTGAACACAAGTATTGTTCTTCATTGAGCATGGTATCAGATATGGAAGCACCTCCACTTCTTGGAGTTTTAACTATTGTTTAGGAGGCCATCACTTTATCACAGAATGATAGAACCTCAAAAATATAGAATTGAAAGAGACCATCAAGAGTTATGACATGAGGTTGAGAAGGTGCTTTACAGGGTGGGATTATCATTATTTTCCTTATTAGTAATCACAAAAGTACTATGGGGCATTACTGCAGATTAATCTGTTTGGAATAAAATTGTCTTATCTTGATGAGACCCCATAAAATTTTCTTTCCTTGAGTTCTCCCATTTTCATTCCTTCTTTGTCTCTTAGACAGCAGCCCTGAGACCAGAGCTAACGTGAAGTTTGTCCAGGATACCTCCAAGTACTGGTACAAACCAGAGATCTCCAGGGAGCAAGGTGGGTCTCTGCCCTAGCAGAACAGAGTGGCTCAGCAGACAACACCTGGCAGTCTTACATTCAAGCATTCAAGTGACTTGGGGCTCGTCCACACTCTGCTTGTCCCATGCCTAGAAAGCGCAGATCTGAGAGGTTTTCTGCTTGTCCTGTGCTTTCTATGCACAGGTCTGAGAAGTTTTCCATTTGCTCTTCTGCTTTCCCCAGGAAAACTCACTCTTTACTGCTGAATTGGAACAAATGTCAATCAGTGGAAAACCCAATTGCTGTTTGCTCCGATTCTGTGATAAAGAGCAGGTCTTCCCCAGGGAAAAGCAGCCAACCACAAGCTGAAGTGTGGACGAGCCATTGCTTTGGTCCTTGGCATTCAAAGAAATTGCAAAATCTGCAAGGATAAATCAAACACTTCCAGAACAGTTTTCCTCCTCCAGGGGCCTCCATTATGATAGAATTTAAAGTACCAGACTATCTCAAGATGAGAGAGCTTGCCACAGGAATAGTTAGGCTGTTTGTATATGGAATCATTGTCATCGGTGGCAGGAGGAACTTGGATACAGATTCCAGATTTGGTCTGTTTCAAGCTCCTAGACTGTGGTGGATGGTACAGTTATTGTGTGCCAATGTAACCAAGTATTTCTCTTGCCTTCAACCTGTTAGAACACACATTCTCTTTATAGATGCTTTTTAAGATGTATATTTGAAAAAAAATAGTAGCTTGACTTGCCTCACTGCCCCTCAGAAACCTTTACAACTTTAGTCTAAACAGTCCTGGTCCCTTCAACCATTCCCTCATAGAACTGGTATTCCAAAAACCTAGCCGCCTTTGTTTCTCTCCTCTGAACCCTAGCCAGTTTGACAGTATTAAAAATAAAGTGCAATTAAGTAGCTTAATCCTTTGAAGGCTATATCCTTTCACCCGTACATCACTGCTTTGATTCACTCAGTGGCCAGTTGTGTCTGATGGCTATTTTAAGTGGTGATGGGCATTTCCAAAGCTATTAGATGTTACCTGTTCCTATACTCAGCAATGGAAAGTTTAGTTGTGCTCCTTTCCCTCCCCTAAATTAAATCCAAACAGTGGAAAACTTCTCTAATCTCAAGGGAAGTAGGAGTTGACTCTGAGACTTTTATAAGACCCAAACAACTAAAATAGACTGAATAATAAAAGTGACTCTTTCTAGCCTAAAAGTGGAGTGGGTCTTTCTTTCTAACTTAACCTTTATCCTAAGGCAGGGTATCCTGTATCCCCAGCAGATGCTTGCCCAAACGTTTTTCACAATTTTCTCGGTAATATCCACTCCACAACAAGAACACACTCCTTGTTTAAACAATTGTAGTAATGGCAAGCTGGATAGGAAGATAGTGAACATGTCCCAACCTGGGGCCCTGAATGGCTGCTTTTGCTTCAAAATAAGAGGGGCCAGCTTAAGCCCATTTTATAAAAAGTTGTGAGTAATGTGAGGGGTAGTTTGATCCTTAGAGGCTGGGCTCTGTGTGTTTCATCTGCTGTGCCACATTACAGCTTCAAATTTTTCACAGATCACATTTGTGCTAGAAATCCAGTGAATGACAACTGAAGAGTGATCAGTGCAGACTGACATTGCTTAGAAGTCTCTAACTGCTGGTTCTATAAGGGAGCAGCTAGATGTGATATCAAACAAATGCTTGCCACTGTAAACAGTGCCCCTCTTTCACCAAAATGTTTACATATAGTTTGATGTCATCATACTCGGTTATATCAGCTGCTAGTTCTACTCAAAGTAGACCCACTGAAATTAATGCACATGACTAGGGACTATTAATGCAATGGTCTACTTTGAGTAAAACTTAGTTGGATACAACCCACTGTGCATTCCCCTGCTCTCTCCCATTAGCAGCTGATGATATAGAGCATGGATGAGGGTAAACACAATGCAATGAAGCCACCCCACATATTTCAGTAATCTGAGCACAGGATTGGGGGCTTTTTGGCAATGAACCTGTACTTGGCATTGTAACATTTAGGCCTAAGTGGATTTTAACCTTGGCCGCTGGCTGTGGGAAGAGAAATGCAAAGTGATCTGTAGAAAGATCCAGCAGTAATGTGAAATTGGAGCAAGACATTTCCCCACTTAGAGTGCCTTGAAATGTAGAGCCTTCTGGTGCTTGTGCTATCCCTTCAGCTTCAGAAGTGTACGGTTTCTTGCCCAGCACAGATTAACAATTCATCCTCACCTCTGTGCAATTTCTCACCTCCTAAAATAGATGGTTCAGGTCCACTATTGACACGTGTAATAGGGGAGTCTGCAACAGACGTGACAAGTGCACACTTTGGATCCCTCTGTTGACATGTGGAGTTGCATGTACTACAGAGTCACAGGGACTGAAAAAAGAGAGGCACCCACTGACAGAGAGTTAATGACTTCACAAGTACTGTGCAGTAGTGAATTTACATTTTTAAGAAGAAAATAATAGAAGTGGTTTTTAGAATAATTCCATCCTATGATGGCTTATGTTTACATGCAAAGATGTGCAGATAAGTATATGCTATATTGGGGTAGTCAAGGTGTTGAGGCTTAGAGCTCTTGCAAGCATGTTGGTTGTGATTTTGGCCATGAGCCATGTTATAATGATGAACGAGGTGCCTCTGTCCCCAGCCAATGCTGATAAGCTACCTCTCAGATAATTGTGAGCGACCCCTTTAAAAGACTTTGTTTATGTTTCTGTCAACAGCAATTCCTCTCACCCATTCAACAGCTGAGGCACTTGGCAGCCCAGCTCTGCAGATCCATCCTTAATCCAAGAACACGTCCCCTCATTTCCTTCATGTCTCCCCTTGCAAGGGTAAAGTGACTGTTACTGAATGGAGGCTGGCCCTGTTTCAGATCAGATTCTCCGGGGCAAGGAGTTTCTTGTTCCTTCTGCAGTTTTACTTTTGCCTTAATCAAATCTTAGAAGGACATTTGCCTTCAAGTATACAAGTCAAAGGTTCAGGAACGAATTCAACATGTGCTAGGGTTATTGCTGCTGTGATGGGCAAATTCCTGGTACTGTAGCTACAATGGAGAGGATAGTTGGTGGGAACTGCTAGGACTAGTTGTGTGAAATGGGCCTGAGAGCCTTTTCTTATACATTTAATGTACGTTGATTTCTTTAACATTTGTCCAGTAAGTGCCTATTACTGCTTGGATCCATTTACATACAGGGGGTATGTTCTTCTTTCTCAGCCATTGCACTGCTGAAAGACAAGGAACCTGGGGCTTTTATCATTCGAGACAGCCACTCCTTCAGAGGAGCCTATGGATTGGCCATGAAAGTTGCTTCTCCGCCTCCTGGTATTTTGCAACAGAGCAAGAAAGGTATACCCTTCTTTCACTTTTAGTAATCCCTCCCCTCTTCCCCTTAGCCCTAATGGAACACATAAAATGCAGATCACTCTCAACCCTGACAGTATCTGTTCATCTGAAAATGGGATATATTTGGGCCGTTATACCCCTGCCAAGGGAATGCCTGGATGCCAAATTCTGTGCCAGGTATGATATTTCATACTTTCAGTGTTTGTGGCTTATGCTAATAGCAAGCCCATGTTTTCAGAGTAGGCTCCAAATGTTTTGTCTTGTGAGGAAACAGAGATTGAGATTTTGTATCCTATCAAGAGCTTTTCTAAATAGGAACTGAGCTGCAGCATGGGAAATCAGGGCGTGACTGATATGATTAGTTCATTAGAAAACACATTCTTACTCCAGATTGCACACAGCTATGCCATCTTGTGGCGATAACAACAAAAATTCTGTGTGAAGTCAGGGCCTTGAGTTTCTTCTGCCATAAATAGTGATGCTGATAACCTGCTTTCATTGCTTCATATATGACCATTTCTAGCATGTAGTGTGGAGTAAAAAAAGTCACTATAACTGAGAAGGTACATTGTTATAATTTCCTTTTGCTTGCCAATGAAGGGCAGCATGGTATGAGTTTATGGCCCACCATATCCTAAGTCAGAGTGTTATGACTTGAAAGATGCTTTCAGAACTTGCACTGAAATCCTGATTTGTCCCAACAGGAGATCTCACCAATGAGCTGGTTAGGCACTTCCTGATAGAAACCAGCCCTAAAGGTGTGAAACTAAAAGGATGCCCCAATGAACCAAATTTTGGTAAGTGCCTACTTTAAAAATGAATTAGAAATACTTTGTATAAACCTTTCCTGCCCTCTGCTTTTCATAAATAGAACTGCCTGGTCCCATCCCATTCTCTTGTGTTTTATTGAAGATAAATGTTCTGCCCAATTCTGCCCTCTTGTGGAGGCTGTGGTGAAAAAACAACAATATTATATATATTTCGAGGACTTCTGGATAGGGAGAAATGGATATAACAGAAACCAAGATGCATAATGATAATTTTATTGATATATGTTTCTTAATAATAACTTATTGTGCTGTCTTGATTGATTAATTTTTTATTATATACAATAAGCTTTTGCAAATTATATATATAGAGAGAGCGTGTCTCATAGAATCAAAAGTAATCTGAGCAACAGGTTTCAGAATTTGACCCTGCACATTCAGGTATTTAGACAGCTATGTATCCAATTCATTTGGTGCATTGCATAGAAATCACTGAGGGTAAACTAGCATCACATCGGAATGCAGCAGCAGAAACTGAGTGCCACCAAATTGCACCATCGGGTATCTTTAACTTTTGTCATGTTTCCCTGTTCTCTTGCCCAGGTTGCTTGTCAGCTCTCGTGTACCAGCACTCCATCATGCCTCTGGCCTTGCCCTGCAAGCTGGTTATTCCCGATCGAGGTAAAGACATGTACATAGGGTGGAAAGCACTTGTGGGCAGATGCACTTGTGGGCATCAGGAGCAGAGTACATGGAGAGAACACCACCGTTTATTCATCAGGAGTGTGTGTGTGTGTTCAAAAGCTCTCAAAAGAAGAGTCACTTTTTTGTAATCCTGGTTTGATACAAACGACCAAATTAGAAGTTCTAGAACCTTTCCCTGCAGACCCACCTGCCTTAAGAGTTTTAGGGTTGAAATACTGTATGTCTGAAGACAGGAGCCCTGAATCAGATGATTACAGGAGTCATAAATGCACAACTTACATGAAGGGAGCAGGATAATGGTTATATTTAATAAATAAAGGTGTTTACTTGGGGGCAGCCATTCTTTTGCTGTAAAATCCCCCTGAGAGCAATGGAATATCCTCAAGTTCAGTTGCTCCCTGTGGGACTTGCTCCCCATATCTATTCAAAAGTTTGTAATGGCAAGAACCCACTGCACAGTAGCTGCTTGCACTGTGTGTGCGGCTGGAAGACTCTCTGGAGCTTTGGAAAAGGATTTTTTAAATGGGGAGGGGGGGGAGGCAGCACTGGAAACCTTGGTCTATCTAATAAAGGGATCTGCCATATTGCAGATGTTAAAGTGGAGAAAAGAGAATGTTCAATTTTATAAAGGATAAGGAATCATAAGGACCTTGCATAAACATAACAAATTCTGTCGCCAACATGTTTCACTGAAAGCAATTTAGGTAGCAGTGAGATTAGCGAGCAACAACACTGTATTTCTCTATCCCTGTTGGTGTGCGATTGTCCCCTGGGAGTCATGCAGAGGGACAGACTCTGTAAAAGGCACTGACTGTATGTTCATTTTTCATGAATTCAAGATAATCCTTCCTGCTTTAATTTAGTTTGCTTTTAATGGCTACCTCCTGCTGGTTCTGTTTACAAAAATATGAAGATGAGAGAGAATCTTTTCTCCATACATAAAAATGTATTGCTAGAATTGTTAAAGGGAAGTCAACCTGTACCCCTTGTGACACCAGTTGTGGGTACAGCAAGGTAACATGAATGTATTAAATGGACTTGAGCATGTAGTCTTAGAAAGAGCTCTTGCCGATGGCCAAAAACTTCCCTTCCTTTTTTCTTTTCTTTTTTAAGATCCCATGGATGAAACGAAAGAGACAACCACATCAAGCAACTCAGCAACAGACTTGCTCAAACAGGGAGCAGGTGAGTAGCTCGGATAGAAAGGGGAAACATTTCAACCAGTTTGGAACCCTTTTACTGAAATGAAACCTCCCCAACCTTGTCTGGGAATAAAGCCCCGCTGAATACAGTTTCTGGAATTTACTGAGCAGCACTGCATGAAAATATTTAAAAATATTCTTTCTACTTAACTTGGTAATACTCAGAGCAAGCTCTGTATGCACATACATGGCCCTTTTGTTCCTACATCATACATTTTAAGCCCTGCAGTTCCTTGTACCTGGAGCAGCGCAAAACCAGCCTTCTCTTCCAAGAGAGGTTTCAATGGAACTTTTACATAAGTAATTGGGCTTTAAATACCTTCTGCATTTTGTTAGTTAGAGTTTCAAGTTAAAACTGATAACGTTTTTGCCTGAGCATTACAGGTACACTGTGAGCATTCATAATTGCATAATGTTTTAAGGTCTTGTGCTTTTGTAATTTCACTGTAATTTCACTGTAATTTTAAAATATTTAAGAGCAAATATGTAAAAATTAATTTAAATTTTTTAAATTTGCTTTTGAAATTTTAGTTTAAAACCGTTTTGCTGGGTTTTTCTTACCAGCTTTAACTATCAGGCAAGTTCTTCGTACACTATCACAGAGATACTAGCAAGCATCTATGACTGGCTGTCAGTTGCCTGGGCAAAACTAAACTCAGCTTTCTATAATTTTTCTGTTTTTGTTTTGTTGTTGTTATCATATGTAAACAAAGCACTTGTCCCTAGTGTTATTAGAAGATTGTGTTAGCGCACACAGTGTTGATATTATCAGCTCATTTTGACCAGTAGAAGCCTTGCGTGGAAATTAGTCACCAGGAGAAAAGCTCTGACTAGCTTATTTCTTTCCAAGATTACAGTGGTCCCAGCAAGATAAGGAACTGGAATAAAGATTGTGGACAGTGGAAGGGTTTATGGTAGGCTTGACTAAGCCATGGGTCTCCAGATCTTGTCAAAGCCACAGCCAGCAATTTGCCAGTCATCAGCGAAGGTTGTAGTTGAACAATTGGTCCACGGCATTTGAAAGTGGCCAATGGGGGGATTGCTGGAGTGTGCAGGTAAAGTTGATTTGGTGCAACCCTGCACACAGCTAGGCTGCTTAAACTGGTCTATGTGCAACTTTGCAGCTTCTGAGATAAACAGCACTTGTATATTGCATAAATTGGGGGAATTATACTGCATATTGATGTAGCTTAATCCCTTCTCAACTTTTGATTGTGGTTTCTGCCATTGGGAGCAACAGACTCTAGGCTCTCCGATTACTGAAATGGTAAACTTGTTTGACTTCTTGCAAAAAGTCAGTCAGATACAGATCCACATTCCCTAGCATAGTCCACAGTCATTGGGGAAAGCTCTTATGAGCAGGCAGCAAATAGACTGCAAATATAAGTTATCCTCATTATAGTCCAGGCAGCAGCAGGATTGAGCCTGCTTTAGCCTTTGCGTATCCTGCATTGTGCCATCCCACTGATGTGTGTGCCACTGTTTTTTTCCCCTCCAGCCTGCAATGTGCTCTTTATCAACTCGGTGGAGATGGAATCATTAACAGGGCCACAGGCCATTGCCAAAGCTATCACTGAGACGCTGGCCGCTGACACCCCACCATCTGCTACTATTGTCCACTTCAAAGTCTCAACGCAAGGAATCACCTTAACAGACAACCAGAGGAAGTAAGAGCCAAATATGGTCTGGGACTCAGGATGATCTGTGGGCTTCGAAATGAAGACTGTCTTTTCACACCCATTATCTGGTTGTGTTAGTGCGAAGTTCCCCAAGTTACTCTCTGCTTCACAAATAAGGCCCTCAGCAGTGGCACTGGTATAATAACCCATTTCAAACTTCTGTTTGGTCATAATTGACTAGTAGGCATCAAGTAAAGCTCAGGATATTTTGCATTTAATACATCCCTGCTGGCCAGTGTTCCATTAGCCTTGTAAATGACTGATGCAGAGCTCATGTAATAGGATGGTACTGATTACCTTGGGGTTGTTTGGCCATTTGTATGGATGGGCCCAGCAGCATTCATCCACTATCATTTCTTTTAACTATGTCACTTACTCATGTTCCATATTTCTGTTTCAGGCTGTTCTTCAGACGACATTACCCCATCATCAGTGTTACCTTCTGTGATGTGGACCCACAGGAGAGAAAGTAAGTGGCAGGGCTTTCGTTTTATTGTGATTAAAGAGACTCAAATCAAAAAAGTACTCATAGGCAGATATATCATAGCAAAGATGGTGTGGGGAAAATGACTTTCTGTTTTCTAGCCCATGTTATTTATTTATTTAAAGATTTTTACTGTTACTTTCCAGTGTAAGCTTGCAAGGTGCCTAATAAGAAGCAGCTAAAACTCAACATTTGAGCAGTATTTTTTTTATAAAAAAACAACAACAGTGAAAAGAGCAATAAACCAGAGAAGGCAAGAGTAAAATACACCATCCATTAAAGTTCAAGAGCCTGGCTCTGAAAAATCTAACAGGATAGGCACCAGCTGAGTATCACTAAAGAAAGAAAAAAAAGCCCTGTCACCTCTGCATGTAACTGTACCTTGAACAGTGCCTGGTTTGCATATCTTAAGGAACAGTTAGTTTCACAGAACAGGATCATATCCATAAAGGAACTCCTAATTTATATCAGACTAAGAACCTTTTTAAGGAGCACTAACCCATAGCTGAACAAAGTGAAATATAGGAGATGGCAGAACCCTTCATTCCCTTGCTTTGCTTCTCAGAAAATCCAAAGTTCTTGCAGTCTCCATTTTACACATAGAATTCTATAATTGTAGAGTTGGAAGGGACCATGAGGGTCATCCAGTCCAGTGCCCTGCAATGCAGGAATCTTTTAAACCCATGACCCTAAGAGTAAGAGTCTCGTGCTGTACTCACTGAGAGCAGAAATCTATGTAATTAAACTTCTGTTCTTCTGTGACACTGAGGCAAGGTGGCCTTCCTTAATTTCCAAAACAAAGGGAATTGTCAATAGTAGGTGAGATTTCTAGGTGCCTCACACACTTGATTATCCTTTATAAGGAACTACGTGAGGAGCAAAGGTGACAAACTGAACTTCGGTGAACCATTTGCTTTAGACAGTAGGGAAGCATCATGGGAACACAGAAAGCTGTCTTATACCAAGTCCAACTATTGGTCCAACTAGGTCAGGATTGTCTATGCTGACTGGCAACTGCAGGGCTTCAGACAGGGGACATTCCCATCCCTACCTGGGATGCCAGGGATTGGACTTGGGATCTTTTGCATGAGAAGCAGATTCTGTACCATTTAGCTATATCATATCCTTGCTAGTTTCAGGGGCTTTGATTGGCATAAATATTTTGACATGAGATTCCACAAGACTGACTAGAAGGGCCTGCAAAAATCACACTGTAGCCCATTGTTGTTTATGAAAGCTGTTCAATAGTGGAGGCACTGGAGCAGCATATTGGGCTTGTATTTCAGAGACATTTTCCCAACAGCTCATAATTTCAACACTTTTGGAGATCTTAATATATTCTGGCAACAGATCGTTTCTCAGAAGAAGAAGGGGATAAGGAAGAGGGGTTTCTCATAATAGTAGGAGGTAGGTGGAGCCCATGCCCCTTTCTTGGCTGTACTTATTTGTTACTTTAAACAGGGAAGAAAGGGGCCAATTGATTAGCCACCAATTCAGTCAAAGTGTTACTTTACCAGTCTTCCCTACCCCCCCACCCCACTTTAATAACTCCACTGTACAGGTTGGACCTTAGTATTATTGTGGATTCCTGCCCTGCTGAAAATTAACCAAAGGCTGTTCTTATCTCCTCAGGTGGACTAAGTCAGACAGTGGTGGTGCTGCAAAGTAAGTCTTGTTTTTCAACTTCAGGTTCAGTGTTAGACCATTACAAAGGACAGAGGCCCCTCTGATAGTGGCTAGATTCTCCAAAGCTTACAGTCATGTATGAATGGTTCTTTGGCCTAATTTATCTTGGATCAAAGTGGTTCACATAACTGAGAGGAGTGATCAGATGGAGAGTTGGTCTGAACTTCCATATTGGTCCTAACTTTGAGGTCCAAAAGGCTTTAAAGCAGAAACCATCAGACCAAGAGAGATGTAATAGGCCAAATCTGTTTCCAGAAAATGTTTTTATTTTAGGCAAAGGGGCCAGCTTGGCTTTTAAGTTATGCAAGTGTTGCGTTTCCCCATCGTTCCCATGAAGTGTCATGACTCCAGTTTCCACATGTCATTATAGACATGCCCGCTACATTTCTGAATAAACAGCAAAGCCCATTCTTAGCCGCGAAAACAGCACAGATAATACACACCAGCCCACATGGCCCTTGATTCCCAAAGGAGGGGTGTGCCACTGCCATACCAAGTCATCTTCGACTTCTCCAGACAACCATCAGGGAACGTAGCACAAGGTTCTTAAAGTCTCTGAGGAAATCTTGAGAGAAACCATCCTGGTTGAATTCTTTGTTGCACAAGAAGTATTGAAGTTCCGTGGATTTTTTCAAGTGTTTACCTAAGGAAATGAAATACAAACATGTCAACTTCCACTTCATTTACACTGGGAAATGTTACTTTAAAAATAAAACAGAGAACGTGTTTAAATAATATTTGAGAATGTCTGGTTGTATCCCCCCCCCCAAAAAAAAACCCCAGACCTGGTTGAAAAGTTATATGCAGCAGCAGGCTGCATACATCTGCACATGTCCATTTCCCACTCAGTTGGTGCGTCCATCTGTTTCAGGGAGTGGGGAGTGACCCTTGATTCAGACAGATTTACTTTCAATCTGTTATCAGTGCTGTCAAAACCATGCTTAGCATTGCATGAATGGCTCCGTCAACTGGTACCACAGAAACAACCCTGGCTCAAGTTCCTCAGTTTAATGTTCCTCAGCATATGGCAGTCTGTAACCACAAGCAGTGATGGCAGTCTATCCTACCAATGTCCAACTTACTTAGGGACTGTTTGTTGCCTGTATCTAGCTTATCTAAACTCACACTGGAGAGTTCAGTACTTCATGTTGAGGTCACACTTCACATGATCCCAAAGGGGGTGGAGGGCAGGAGACAGAACAAGAGTCTGAAAAAGACTCTTGCCATCCCAAACTCAAATGCAAAAACTTTTTTTTCTAACCTCCCAAGTTTTGCCATTTTGTTTAGCAAAAGAAAAAGAACTGAAAAATGCAGTAGAAAATTGCAACCAGAGTAATAATTTGTTCCAATAAACAATGGAGAGTTTTGTACTATAGATGTGATACTAGCCCATACATAATGAGAGATTTGTTGAATATGATCCTTTTACTTCTACTAGGGGAGAAAAATCCTATTAAAAGCCAAGCTGTGTGACCAGTTTGAGCTACTTCCTCTCTCTGGTCGTGTTTTCTGTTCTCCTCCTGATACTGCTTCTAGCTGAGTAGCTTGGAGCGAGCTCTGGGGGCTTATGGGCCCCACTAATTTTAGGTACTGTCTGTAGCAAGGGGTGTTTTTATTAGAATCTCCAGCTGTCTGGATTTTTCTTTCTCTAATTAGAAATGACAGGAGGAGGATCACATTTTGTTCCATTTTGTTTCATCTAGTATTTATAACTTTCCTTTTGAAAGTTGAAATTGAAATTGAAAACAAACAAACCCAAAACACGTTGTTATTACTGAGATAATGGAGCTACAGCAATTGAAATCCACATCCTTTCTCCAAAGGCCACACCTCCCCACCTCCAATTCCATGTGATACATGTCTCAAGTTCCACTGGTAGAAGATTGAATATTTATATAGCTTATCTGATAACACCAGTATGCCATCTCTGCTCCACAAATAGCTGTGGTTATTCATGTCTGCCCTAGCTTACACCTTTCTCCCTCTCTCTCCCTCGCCTCCCATTCTTTTCTTTGTCATCTCTGCAGACTCTTTGGCTTTGTGGCCAGGAAACAAGGCAGTACAACAGACAACGTCTGCCATCTCTTTGCTGAGCTGGACCCCGACCAACCAGCTGCCGCCATTGTCAACTTTGTCTCCAGGGTCATGCTCGGCTCCTCTCAGAAGAGATGAACCAATGCCTTCCCCCTGAAGGGGGCTTCTTGCCCTTGAATTTTGAAGAAGGACTTGGAGTTGTTCCGAGAAGGAATGCGAGGAAGTGCGTTGCAAAAGAGGGAAGTGAACCAATTTTAGGGGGCGGGGGGAGAGAGGGAGAGTGGGGGAAGGTCTGAATTGCTGAAAAGCCCAAACCAAGCAAACGTACGTACATAGCAGAAACCAAGGAACCGACATCGTCGCCTTTCCCTGCCAAGTTCAAGAGGTGGAGACAATTTTGGCTTTTTGGATCAGCATGAAATCAGAGAATTCAGCCCCACAGGCCAAAGCACGGATCTTATTTACCTTTGTGGGGTAGGACTATATAGTAGTTGCTTGTTTAGAAAATAAGGCAAACTTTTAAAAAATCATGAATACGTGAGCTGCAGGAATCACATTGAGAGACATGCCGAACAAGCAATCATTGGTACCCATTTCTGAAAGTAATTGCTCCCAACTCTTCAACTGCTGAATGTATGGAGCGTGTGTGCGTGTGCCTGTGTGTGCGCATTTGTGTAGTGTGCACCAGTTGCAATACATATCTGTGGAAATCTGCAGTGTTAAGATGATGTAATGGTTATTCAGAACGGTTGACCCCTGCATTCTCCCCCTCCTCTAGGAACATTGGCCTCCATTACTCTAGCTGGAGGAGAAGCCTCATGAGCAGTAGCGCCTGATCTACTACAGAGGCAGGAAGTCCACACCTCATACATGTGCACAGTGCATGTGCACACATAATTTGTATACCAGAGTTGCAGGGAGTATTCCCCTAGCTAGGTTTAAGGAGCATGCTAGCCACATCATAATTATATCTTCTGGTTTCTATGCAATGAGACCCATGGTAGGTCATTTGAACAGGGAATCTGTCCCATGATCCCCTTGCCCCTAAAAAAATTAAATACCAGCAGTTTGGGAATGCCATTCCTTTCCTGTCCAGGCTTACCCCTTCTCGGTAGCCATGCACGTCATTTTGTATCTTGCATGGAAATTATTCAATTGCGCAAAGGCAAGATGAATGATCCAATAATGGGGAGAGGGGGATCTTGTTTTGAAGCCACTAGGAATAATGATGTAAGGAGAGCCAACTTGGTTTGAGCTTTGGCTTAAGCACAGCCATAATTGATTAATCTGTATCCATTTGAGCTCAACAATTAATATGTAGCAAAATTCATTATTTTGCCTCTTCAGGCTTTGTGTTTGCTTCTGGAGGCATCAAATCTTGCACCGACACACTAGTTGACACTTGGCAGTGTTGTCCTCAACTGACATTTGTTGTGGAAAGGGAGGCAGTTTCTACCTTGCAAATCTTTTTTGTGCAGAGCCGCTACATATCCATTTTCACAGTGAATGAGGTAGTATTTTAGCAGCAGCCACAGAGGAACTATGTATTTTTCTGCCAACATCACAAATTAGTCTTTTTACTAGCATGACTTCTGTCACTCCTAATGGGGGGCCTGCAGAAGTGCTGCCTATTAACTAATGGCTCTGGGTATCTTTGTCAAGGAAAGGTTGACTTGTCAGGAGACGTCTGCTTTGTTGTGGAAGTATCCTTCTGTTGTGTAGGGTTCTCGCATCATCTGCACTGGCAAATCCCAGACATGAACACTTGTGCTGAATGGACAAAGAGATGTTCCCATGTGTCAAATCCTATGGGTTTATTGTGAATTCTTCAACCTCTACTTAGAATAGAGTCAAGGCCCTGCTGAAAGCAAGTCACTTTTGGCTTGCTGTGTCAGCTGGTCCAACGGGGATTGGTCAAAGACTTATGAAGAGACTAGCATGCATGACAACAACTTGAGTCAACAGATAAGGAGCATGTGGGCAGTAAGCCCTTCACACCCTCCTCTGTTGATAACACGCAACAGGACTCATAACACACAGTGTGGATTGGGTTGGGCTGAGACCTCCCATTTAAAACAATGGATGAAAGGTCTGTTCCCCTAAAATGCCATATGGGTTCCTGAATTAGTAGGGGAAGATCTTTAGGGACAGGCTGTGTGTTGATGAAGCACTTCAGTATGAAGCCATGCGACATTCACTAAAAAGTCAAAATACAAACTCCAAGTCATGCAGTCACCTAAATTCCCCTAGAGAGTGTGGCTCTCTCATTGCCTTGATATAATATATATATGTATGTATGTATGTATGTATGAAATATACTGACGAAATAATGTAAGCTAATCAAAAAAATTTAAAGTGAAATTTACACAAAAAGTATTTATTTTTGCCATATTGCTTTTATCTATCTTTTACCTCCTCTGATATTTTCATCTTCCTACATTCCCCCCTCCTCCCTGTCCATGTTATAGACTCTTGTATGTATAACTTAGTACAAAGTGCTTATTTGGTTAGTATTATTGACATGGGCAAGATTTCAAAAGATGTCCATCCCTCTCCACCCCAGCCCCATCAGAGCAATGTATTTTGATATCATGCCACAGGGCAGTGCAACAATACAGCCTTTCTCATCCCCACCTCCTCATTTTTAGAAATGAGCAAGTGAGCATGTATAAATTTTGTACTTCGTTGCTGAGTGACGCAAAGGTTAGAGGTGTGCGTATGTGTGAAAGTGTGTGAAGAGAGACTTATTTCTGGATACTGTATAAAGCATGAGTTTTGCATCCAAGGACTGTTGTCGAGATGGTTCCTTGGATGGAGTGGGAGCATCAGTTATTGGTGTCATTGTCCAGGCTCTGCCCCACCCACATCCAGATGGGATGCCAGAGACTGCGATAGCTTATTCTCTTCTAGGTTACAAATATTTCCTCCTTCTGCAAAATTCAAGCAAGATGATCCCCCCTCCCTCACCTGCAACTGTCTCACCCTGCCATTAACCAATTAGAGAAACACTGTGTCTATAGATATATATATAAATATTATAAATATATATATTTTTTGAAAGTCTCTATTTTTCAGACTTCATTTTTTCACTGCTTTCAAAAAATTAAAATTTGCAATCTCACCCTTCCCCTTCATCATTTGCTGTCTTGCCACAGAGAGCGGTATTGAAACTTTATGGTTCATTATTGTTTTGCCATTCAAAGGAAGTGACCTTGATATAAGGCTTCTGTGGTCACATATATATCATCATGGCGAGCACACGCATGTCAGAATACCTGCTTCCAGCCATGACCTGCTCACTGCTCCTTTACTAACTCACTAGCTGAAGATGGAAAGTTTAAAGATCCCTGTGTGTTTGGGCCATACTTGCTGACTATGGCTTTATTTTAAAAGGCAGAGCTAATCACATTATGTAACTTGTTGCTTTTCCAGCTTGCATTCAAGACAAAAGCTGCATTTTAGGAGTAACTGTTGTATTTATCAACCACAGTTTTTCCACAGATCAGGTCCCCAGCTCCTCCAGGGTGGCTCTCGATCTGGAGCTAACCAAGTGCTTGTGAAAAAGAGCACAAAGAGGCACAAGAAGTTGCTAGAAGAAATGAGAGTTCCCCCAGACCCAATAATTTCTGTGTATATCTTGATTGGGTTAGTAGAGTATGATTTTTATCTGCCCTTCCTTTCCCTCAACTTGCAGTGTGCCTCTCTATTTGTGCTAAGAACCATAGAGCAGGGATCAAAAGGAGACCAATCTCGATGGAAACCTCTGGTCCATTCTTATGGACTGCCAGTGCCAACCAAGGAAGGAACATCCTGGCATATGTGAGGAGAAGGCAACCAGTTTTCGAAATACTCTCACAACTTCAGAGGCAACAGATTGTCTCCTTCTCTGCAATCTCTGCCTTGTGGGGCTATTTGCGTCTGCCATGTTCTTTATCCATTGATCTCCCCGCACCCAGCCACTTGCCCAGGATGTAAGTGAGCTGCTCACTAGGTGAGTCATCCTTGGGTTGGTTTGTTGGTGTTAATTTGCCTCAGCCACAGTTTCTTCATAGGCTTAAGGAGGCTGTTTGTGGCACTGGAGAGAGCGAGTCCCTGTTCTAAACTGGTTTAGTTGTTTTCTGCCAAACTCCCAAGTGCTGGAGGAGCTGCTGCAATCCCCGAAAAAAACTTGTGCCATTTATTGAATGTCTTTTAAAGAGCACAAGAGAAGATAATTCCATCTGAAACTCACCAAATCATTTCCAATGCCTGGGACTGATGTCTAATGTAACCCCCCCCCCATGTATGCAATGTAGTAATAACTCTACCCTTTCAATAGAAGGTGTTATATTTTATACACATGCACACAAACACCCTCCTCCGTACACAAAGAACTGCATAATCTTGCCAAAGATACCTGTTTGAAATGCACTTTCCTCTTCCTGTTGGCTGTACATTTCTTGAATGTGCCTCTTTCCCTCTCTTTAGTTTTTCTTTCTTTGTTTTAAAATCGTGTTTACTAGTGACTTTTGTTCATTATGTTTTTCTCTAGCAAATTTGTGAAACTCAAATCACCCTTCCACCAGCTGGGTGGTGATAACTAATTTGATATATAACTTGAGATTTAAGGAAGGTTACTGAGCAGTGAAACAGCCAAAGTAAGATGTAGAAGAGAACAGGAGCAAAGCCATTCAGATACCCTCATGTCCAGTTCCTTAAATGTTATAAAAATCCCAAATTTATCCCTAAAGCTCCTGCAGTTGCTTGCTTTAAATACAACTTCAAATAAGTAATCATTTTAAAATAAGTAATCCCTTCCCAATGCCTGTGAAAGAAATTTAAAGTAAACAGCATTAGAGACAGTACTGTCTCTTTTTGTCTCTATGTAGCTGACATACAACGGACAAAGATGTTTAATATTTTGTAGCAACAAATATTATTTGACATCCAGCTCAATATAGCTGTGAGGATTAATGACCTAATATATCTCCGCAATATGGCAAATGGAACGGCTGCACTGCTACTCTACATGGAGCATTGAGCTAGCATTGTAGTCTTTCTTGTAAAATCTTTCTTGCTAAATCTTTCTTGTAGTATAAGAAAGTCATAAGGCCAGAGTCATAAGGACCATACTAGACCAATACCCAAAAGAAACCAATGACCTGTGCTCAGTAATTGGAACTGGATGTATTGGAGAAACATTTAAAGGCCACAGGCCCAATATATTACTATATTCTGGCAACCATCAATTTATTAATCTGTTCGTGGATGACTCAGAACACATTATTCAAGTTGAGTCTGTTCTGATTAAGCCAAGAAGTTCAGTTAAAAATTAAAAGGGATAAAGCCATCACTTTGTGAGGCCATGTGAGGAATAAACTCCCAGGTTTATACATGGACATAATAGCTTCTGTCATACTAAGGCAATGAAGACTAGCATCTCCTATTGCAGCCCCCTTGTAAACCCATTTTAGAAGTTGTTCCATAATTTGTCATCATAGTGTTTGTACAGCATTTTCATCAGCATTCTCACCCACATAAAAAAACAAAACCCTTGTTCAACATGGCCCCTCATTCACCCATTGCCCAGTAATGGCAACCTGGCAGCATACCCACAAAGCTCCCGTGGTTCTCCAAATATATCATTAGCCAATGCCATCCAATATATACCTGAATTTGGGGCTAAAGAAAAGCAGCATGTATAGGGTTATTAATAAAAGCAACAAAGACAGACTCCTGAAACGACACCGGTATATTGAGCTCCACATTTTACCCCTAACCATATTCCTTGGAAATGTCCCATTACAATCATGTGGTCCTACAAGTGATGGGTTTAGGATTGGGATGCTGGTTTCTGTTGCAAGTAGGTACTTTTTCAAAAAGCAGCATAAAATTACTCAACTCTGGAGGACGCCCTTTGATCTCCAGTAGTCAATTCCCATTTTTTAAAGTAGGTCTACAGGAGGTGAGCGGCATAGCTCCAAAATCAGTTTCAGATTTAAAACCAAATGGTCCAAATCTAACAGTGTTTACTAGGAAGTACATCCCATTCAAGTCAGTGACATCTACTCTCAAGTTAAGAGGACAGTTCTATGCAGAAGTCAATTCCACTGAAGACAATAGAGCTTATAGACAATGGTTATAGGGTTGCAGCCGCTAGAAGCAGGGCGATCCAGACTTTAAAACTGCAGTTCAGACTATTTGCTGTTTTATGACTACCATGGTTAATGTTGTTACAGCATCCTTTATCAGTATTAATGACCTTTTAAAGCAACTTTTTGTTTCTTCTTGCATCCCCTCCCATTTTTTAAGCACACACCAAACATGCAAATGCCTACACAAAGAAGAGTAATTGGGAAGGGAAACAAGCCACATGCCAGAATTAACTCCCTTTTTATGTATTTATACAGACAGAATTATCCTTTATATTTTGTATCTTTGTGCCCATACCTTTTGTCACTTCTCTAAGAGACGCCGCTGCATCACCCATGGTTCACGTGTGAATGGACCATGCACAACTAAGCTTTCCTTTCCCTTTGTACAGCTATCTTGACTCATTGCAGTTCCTTGTATGGCTTTATAAATGATAAGATTTTAAACAAAATCAATTATATGAAATATACTGTTGCTTGAAAATGCCCAGCTTGGTGTCTGGATTGCTGGAATTGTATCTCAAAACTTTAAGGGAGCAAAGGAATAAAGACTCTCTACTTTTTGCACAGGGAAATCATGATGGTGGCTGTATTCACTCCTGCTCCCTTGCACTCTCACACCGAAGAGTTTGCACACTGCAAAAGAATAATAGAAAATGGTCCCAGCCAGTTCTAGAGTTGCTCCTGAATTTCACCCAAAGAGAAATTTGAGGTGAATGTAGCCATTCTTGCTTGCTCCTTTTGCCAACCCCCCCTCCCCTGGAGAATTCTGAAGAAAAACTGAAATGAATGCACAACGACCAGTAGCAGTTTCCACTCATTATCACCTGTTTAGGTAAATGTGGACCTCTCCTACAGCAGCCCAGCCTCTGCAACAAAAAGTTGGGCCAGAGAGCAGGAGGGGCTTTCTAGTGGAGCACCTTGCATGTACCTGTTTGGGAGGACACAAGGGTCACTGTGTCCACAGAATCCTTTTCTTCACCCTGCAGTGGTTTTTCTAGAATTCCCAATGCATGCAAACACATAAAAAAGGTTGCACCACATCAGGCATTGGGTATGATACAGAAATTGGGGAATCTATCTATCTATATGGTTAAAAAGGTAAAGGACCCCTGACAGTTAAGTCCAGTCACAGACGACTCTGGGGTTGCAGTGCTCATCTCGCTTTACAGACCGAGGGAGCCGACAATTGTCCACAGACAGTTTTTCTGGGTCATGTGGCCAGCATGACTAAGCTGCTTCTGGCAAAACCAGAGTAGTGCATGGAAATGCTGTTTACCTTCCCGCCAGAGCGGTACCTATTTATCTACTTGCACTATTTTTGGCATGCTTTCAAACTGCTAGGTTGGCAGGAGCTGGGACCGAGCAACGAGAGCTCACTCCGTTGCAGGGATTCAACCTTCTGATTGGCAAACCCAAGAGGCTCAGTGGTTTAGACCACAGCACCACCTGCATCCCTGGCATCTATCTAGTTATCATAGGCTAATAACTGGCAGTCTTTTACTGTAAGCACCTTCCTCCTGCTACTGGTTAAGTTGCTGTTATGTCACAGAACAGTCACATACATTATAAATACTGCTGAGAGGACTCTTTCTCAATATTTGAAAAGCAGTGCCATTGCTGTGTAGGGAATGTAAAGCTGCCAGAGTAAAGTTGCACAAAGACCCTTACAAAAAGGGGGTGGAGTGGTCTTGGTGAGAAGCAATAGTGGAAATCCAAGTAGGAAAACCCCTAGGAAGTAGCAGAGAAAAGAACAAGGGGTCTAAGAGGAAAGTTAGATGAAGGAAAGGGTGAAGAGATGAGGAAGAAATAGGAGCTGGGATGGAATGAGAGGGGGAGCTGATAAAAATCCGCATAGGAACATAGAATCTGCTTTATTTTCCCTGTTTTGTCACACTGGAAAGTAACACTGGGGCAGAAAGTGGGGAAGTCATTCTCACTTGTGCCATGCTGGATATATCACATCAAATGAACTCTTTGCCACAGGTTGAGTGGGTGGGATTCTTATGCTCTGATCCTTAGAAAATGGGATCTTTCTTTTTAAAACAACATCTGAGTGCCTCCAGGGTGTTCGTATTTTGCAAGAGGAGTTCAGGTACATGCAAGGACTTTAGGTTTGCACAATTAAAGTGGATTAAAGCACAACAAATTCACTTTTGAAAAATAAAAATGGACTTTTTGCAATTTAGGAAGTGATGAGGAAATGCATTGATAAGTGTGGGCTGAACAACTCACCAAGGAAAGACATACAAACACCCTGCAAGCATCTGCCCCATGAACAAAAAAGAATGAATGCACTATAAAGACCAGACATCACCACCATTGTGCACTTTGTGCAAACAAATTGGAATGGTGAATAAAAAACTCATCTGAATGAGCTTAGTGTACTGGGTAAGCACTTCTCCCATCATGTCCACCATATCAATTCTCTTTCAGTCTTTCTTCCTAACAGAGACAAGGTGCTTTGGAATGTAGGTATTTCTGAGTGACATCTGCAACCAGATGACTGACAGACTTACTTTTCAGTTGCTTGCTGTTATCAGTGACTTAATAAAAATTACTTAGTATGTGAAGTACATAACGCAATAAATGTTTACCATCAACAAACTCTTGCCAAGTGCTCTTTGGAACAACACACAAAGCCCAAGATCTTCAGTCATGTTAAGCCATGATATTCAGCAAAATTACAAATTGTAATTTCTGTTCAGCCTAGGAAAAGGCAAAATTACACTCAACAGGAAACATGGGACTCTGCCAATAATGGCGAACAATCTGCGAGGCTCTTCCCCTCTGCAGCATGTTCTTCAGCTTATCCTATATTCTGCCATCCTCCTCCTGCTACGCAATCCCTGACATTGTCAATAACCAACAAAGTGAAGCATGGGAAATATACAGCACAATGATATCACATACCTGTCAATTGTCCCACTTTGAGCGGGACATCCCAAAATTACACAAGCCACCCTGGCTTCTGATTGGATCCTGGGATCTCCTGTTTTGGCTCCCACAAGAGCACAGCCTAAAAAGATGCTCTATTGGGGGTGGGGCATGCTCTTGTACGAGTCACCTGACTCCCATGAGAGCAGGGCCCTGAAAGACGTGCATCCTGATTTTCCACTGCGGGATGTTGGAGGGTATGATATCAGAGTGTAGGGTAAGGTGAATGACAAGCTATGGAGCACTGGGACACAGTGGAGAGAAATGCAGGGTATTCTGTTTCCCCGTTGCAGACAGTTGTGTATGCCATGCCTAAGGGTTGTTTTCTAATGTGACCATTTCCATAAATCAGATGGAGAACCTGAGCCCTCTGGATGTTATAGAACTACAGCTCCCATCAGTCCTAACAATTGGCCATGATGGCTTGGACTGATGGGAGCTGGAGTCCAATGACATCCAGAGGGCCTCAGGTTCCCTACTTCTGCCATAAATTTGTTCATATTCTGAGACTAATCAAATCAAAATTCCTGGCTGTCTTTTCTTCCTAGGAAAGAAAGTGGGTCCTAAAACAAGTAACATTAATTTTTATAACAAATACCAACCAGACACTTTAGGCACCACTCCTAGGTGCCAGCTCTTCAGAGTTCAAGTTTTACAGCTTCTTTTCAGACCCTTAAATGCTCTGTTAATGATCCCTCTCTCAGTTCATGCATTTGTTACAATAACTTGAGAATAAACAGATATATTTTAGGGAAATCTTGTTTGTAAGCAACAGAGATCCTCTATCAACACTAAGGATTCTTTGGATTGTATGGATTCCCAGGATTCTTTTCCTTTTTTCTTTTGGAGTGGGGAGGATGTGCTTTAAAATGTACTTTAAATGCGTATTGTGTATGCAGCCTCAGAATACCCAAACAAAATGTGTGTCTGGTCTTTTTCTGGGTGAGTTACAAGTGCAATGAAGTGACACAGAAAGAACAAAACAAACACCTTCAACTCCAGGCCTCTATTCTTTTTCAAGGGTTTAACTTTCTTGCTTTCTCTATAATCTTCACAATTGCCCTTTAAGGAAGATCAATATGATCATGGCCTCTGTATCAGAGATCGCTGGCTTACCACAAACTCATGGCTGTATAGGTGAGGCAAAATTTCAGCCATGGTTTTACTGGCTCAGAGCTTTCATGTACAACCACTTCACAATCTCAGCTTGTCAGAGAATTAGCCAGTGGACCACAGCAAGCTAGGAAGTCTGATTTCCCTCAAATATCTCTGACATTAAGCATTAACATGGACATGGGTGGGCCCATATGTCCAGTGTGATTTGACTGCCAGAATGAGAGAGAGAGAGAATATATATATCATAAATCTAAGGAGATGTCTCTTTGCTAAACCAGTAAAACAATGCAATGTTTTTGTTAGGGAGCAAATGCCTTATTTCCTTTTCAACATTCCTCCCGGGCTTCTGGTTTATATTGCTGCCCAACAGCTCATTTTGCACAGAAATTGCAGGCATTTGTAATTTGCATTTTGACTGCTCTGGGTCATTCATGCCATATGACTCCACCCTTTCTCAAGATGGAGGATTTCTTTTCCATCCTTTTTTGGGGGAGTGGGTGGGTGGTTGCGAGTCCTACTGCACATCAAAGTGTCTGTTAATTTACTGCAGCCTTCTTCTGCTGCCCATCCTACATACTCATACTTAACTGCCAGGACTGCATACACAGTACACCAGCTTCGTTACTGGGACTACTTCAAATTAGTTTGGGGCATAAATGAACAAACGTTAATGATATACAGTAATACTTCTGTGAACGTCCACCTCGTCTAGCATCCATTCCAGCGAACGTCCGCGGCAAACCTGGAAGTAACAGAACCGGGTTAATTCCGGGTTTGCTGCTTGCGCATGCCCAGAAGCACAAACTGCTCCGCACGTGTGCACACAGCGCTTTGCCCTGTGTCCTTTTCGGCTAACGACCGGGGGTCCATTCTGGCAAAACAACGTATGACTGTACAACAATGTACAGAAAAGTGAAGGCTGAGGTTTGGAGAACAATGCTTGCAGCTTCAGTTGGGGCTGATGAGAATTGTGTTTCAACCCATGAAGCCCCTGTTGGGATAGTGCCAATAAGCTGCAAGCACCTTAAGTGTTCCCCTCTTATCCATGAAATGACAGCTGTTGAAGCTGCTACCTGCTACCCTGTCCTAGATCCCAAACTTTCCCCCTTTGGGACCTGGACATGTTGGCAGGGAGGACTGGAGCTACAGGCAGGGAAGAAATTCAACTCAGTTTTCATTTAAAGGTGGATCTATTAAATCTATTTAATAGATTAAAGGTGGATCTATTAAATTTGCTCTTTCTAAAACAATAGAACTGAAACACAGCCCTACTTCAAAATTCACACTTCTCTGAATTTTGCAATGCAGTTCACCAACCAATGTTTACATTGCATTATATTTGGGGGGGGGGGTTGGTTTCTCATACACAAATAATGTGGATAGTGCCTGTACATTTGCCTAACATCTTAATTTTAGCAAAGTTGGATGCCTAAACTATAGGCTAATACAAAGGTGTTTATCCGAACTTTAACATAAAGAAAAAAATAACAAAAGCTGGGAATTTGGGTATTATGCTTCATTG